TGATTGGCAGTGTCGACAATGTCAAGGTAAAAGCGACCCGCCAGGGCAATTAGATGGCTTCCTTGGACTTTGGTGATGGACCAGAACAATGAAGGGCGCTACTCCACATTCGGCAGTAGCGCCCTGCCCCTTCTCGGTGCAGCCCTTGGGAGAGTGGGCCCAAAAAGCGTGCCCGCTTGAGACGTATCACCAACATCCTCCTCCTCTATCCTCTTGCGTACCTCGAAGCCGGCCTCTTTAGGTGCATAGAACGCCTCCACCTCGTAGCCCCCGCACGGAATAGCCAGAAACGCAAATCATGGCCTCTTTCTTCGCGAACGTGTAAGTTGCTTGGCACATGCTGCCCTTCCTCAAATGCTCGCGCTTCCCTCCACCCCAGTCAGCCACCCTATATGTTTCATACCTCTTCTGCATAGCGTCTCACGATTTCCCTTCGTGATATGCACGTTGCGCCGGCTTCACTGTGCCGTATCCCCGTGTTATAATTCGCCGCCTCGACACTCTTACATCTGTCTTCTCATCTAACAACTCCGCGAATAGTCGCCAAGGATTAGCTGGACGATCCAGCAAGGGCCAACAAGGACAAGGCAAAGGAGGCTCGCCATCACCAACAACCCAATACGCCAGTTCACCAACTTCTCAGCAGCAGCAAGGACAGCCACCTATGCCTCACTCCCCCGCCTTGTCGTCGGCCATGTCGTTCGAAAGTGCTCCGGACGGGTCCGTGCCCGGGACACGCAGACCGCCTTTCTTCTTCCGCGAAGAGTACTCCAACCTGATTGTCAAGGGCAACTTTATGACCTTGGCTGCAAAGCCGAAGCTTGTTGAAGAAGGCGAATGGCTTGCACATCAAGGTAGGCGTCCGACATGCTGCATCTGATTGCCCCAAGCTGAGCATGTGACCAGTTGTCGAGCAGTACAGGCTGCTGGAGCAAATGATTGAAATCATCAAGACAGTAGATGACAAGACAAGCAAGCCCGTCTGCAACCCAGATGTCTGTCCTACCATGTCTGCCAGTGGTCACACATACACGTGGTTAGACAACAACAAGAAGCCCATCAAGATTCCCGCAATCCAATACATCAACCTCGTGCAGAAGTGGATTGTTGGCAAGATCAACGATCCAAACATCTTCCCTACAGACACAACAGCCGTCTCCATTGGCGCATCGACATATGCGTCTGGTTCCATGACACCCAATGCCACCCCGCAGCCCCTCCCACCCACCAACATCAACGCCCCCGCCTCGCAGCTCGCCGGACGCGACTGGCTCGGAAAATCCTCGGGCTTCCCCGAAACTTTTGAGGGAGATATCAAGAGCATCTACCGTCAGATGATGCGATGCTACGCCCATATTTACCACGGCCACTGGCTGGACCCCTTCTGGAACGTGAGCGCATACAAGGAGCTCAACACTTGCTTCATTCACTTCATCAACGTCGGCAAGCTCTTCAACCTCATCGGCGACAAGGAAATTGAGCCCATGCAGCCGCTCGTCGACCTCTGGGCTGAGAAGGGCTTGCTGCCGCCAATTACTGGAGGTGCAGCTGCACCAAAGGAGAATGTACCTCCCAGGAGCTCGGGAGGACCGCCTGCTGGTTCTGCGTCTTGAACATGAAAGCTTGAACTTGTGATATTGAAATCTTGTCTGGTAACAAAACATGGGGAGGCGCCATTTGATATGGAGCAACTAGAACAGCAAGCTGTAAACATTTTCTCGCCTTGCATAGGTAGCATGAAGGGTTTGGACGTGAGAGTTTGGGCGTTTTTTTTTGATATATTTTATGATTGGCGATGTGTACGCATGCATGGTGGTAGTATGCAAAATGAAACTTGAACCATGACATGCTTGTGTGCCGGTAGCCTTATTATGAGGTGCAATTATGGTCATGGTTGAGGGTTTATTGAGGCCTGCGGATCTTTCGGGCCTGCTTTCACCCTGCATGAGCCCATGATAAAAAAGTCATCCCGAGCATTTCTCGACTTGGTTGTGATCTACCGAGGGAGGCGCGGACTTTGGATAGCCTGCTCAGGTGTGAAGACGGCGCCAGGTCTGGGGTCTGGAGCTACACCACCGACTAGGCCGCCACGTCAAAAGCGGAGTGTGAACCGGATGGCTGCCTAAGCTGATCACGTTCCTCTTCGAGTTTCACAGTTTCACAGTTTCACAGTTGCACAACCAACAAAGTCACTGACAAACGCACAATAAATCACACAGTCCCCTACAAAGACCATCGAGTATAAAAAGAGGCTCAAATTTGATAGTACCATGTAAAGCAACCAGAGAACTGTTTTCTCAACGATCCCAGAAACGCAATGTCATAGTACTTCACACAAACTCCAATGGTGAAAAGAGAAGAGAAATTAACATCTCCGCTCCACCATCCGATCTGACATTTGACACCGATGCAAATACATTTCATGGGGCCGTAGTGTTGTTAAGATGCGTCATGGCTGGGCTCTGCCACTACGATGGAGCGTGCGTTGGTGAACGTCTGGGCCGGACAGACTGTTGTCAATTTTCGTGACTCGCTACATTACGTATCGCGTTCGCTGAACTTAGTTGTGGCCGGCCTTGCGGAGAGAGTTGCTCAACCACTCGAGACCCTCGTAAAGACCGTCACCAGAGGTGGCGCAAGTCGACTGGATGTACTGCATGGAGTTAGTTGAATTGGTTGGAGAAGCGAAACTGGTTTTGGACATACCCAGGCACGTTGTCTAAGGCTGTGGAGGCCAAGCTTGTCGGTAATCTCAGCAGCGTTCATTGCATTCTAGTGTCGCATTGTTAGTCATCTGGACACGGCTGTTCGTATCTGATGGGGCTTACGGGCAAATCCTGCTTGTTGGCGAAGACGAGAAGAAGGGCATCCCGCAGCTCGTCCTCGTTTAGCATGCGCTGAAGCTCCTCACGCGCCTCAACAACACGGTCGCGATCGTTGCTGTCAACGACGAAGATGATACCCTGCGTGTTCTGGAAGTAATGCCTCCATAGAGGACGGATCTTGTCCTGACCGCCGACATCCCACACGGTGAACTGGATGTTCTTGTACTCGACGGTTTCGACGTTGAAACCTGTAGTGTGGTGGATCAGCGCATTGGCCCGGCAATCAACGTGTCCTCCTGCGCGACGTACCGATAGTGGGGATGGTGGTGACGATTTCACCAAGCTTGAGCTTATAGAGAATGGTCGTCTTTCCGGCGGCGTCAAGACCGACCATGAGAATGCGCATCTCCTTCTTGCCCCATAGCTTATCGAACAGCTTGGAGAATGTGAGACCCATGACTGCGGTGGGTGGGTGGGTGCGAGGAGGGTGAATGGGAAGGCGGTGTAAAAGACTCTCGAACCTGCTCAGGCGGTGGTCAGAACAGTGTTGGAGAGAACATGATGGCGATGTCGGCGTCTATTGAGCAATGTGCAAGCGGTCGCATGGCCGGCGCAGACATGGTAAGCGCCCATGGTGAAGTTGGGTCGAGGCCAGAAGGGCACTGGCCCGCCGCCCGCCAGAGGGTGGACAAAGCAAGTGCACAAAAAAACAAGACGGCGGCGATTGACTTACGGAATGTGTTCAAGAGAGTCGGTGGTATTCGGGGATGAGGCGGGTGGATGTGGATGTACTCTAATTGATGCACAGGAAGGGCTGCGTTGAAGAGATGTGGTGGAAAGCGCGGCGAAGTCTGGGCACTGCTCGTAAGTTGGCAAGTGCCACTGACACGTGACAACTATCAGCGATCGCTTATCGAAAGGACTTGCGGTGAGAGGATGGCGGTTTCAGCGACTCCTTCACTTGCAACCTTTTATCCTGAACAAGGACATGTTGACACGTTGAACCTCCCCTGATTGTCGAGCGTGGAACCCATAGGCAGCCGTGAAATGTTTCGGTTGGGCGATCGGCCATCCACAAATCAGCTGCCCCAGGATTGCGTGAGCTCGAGGACCCACACATGTCCGCACTACCGACGGGGCAACCTAAGAATATCGACGACTGATCAAGTTGGTGTCTGTGGGTGCATGGCAATTGTCAAGTGGCATGACTTTCCGACACTGCATCGTCTGGCGCCAAAAGCTTCAAATGACAAAGACAACGCCACATGATCGAGCTTGAGTATGTATGTACATGTAGACACGGTCTTGGGTGCTACATACCTACCAGGCTGCCATGATTGATGTCAGATACCTTGATGTCCCTCCTTGTACTCGTCTAAAGTGTACGCCATCAGCTCCCGTCACCAACCCAGTGTTCGTGTTCGTCCAGCCCTAAGCCTTGGTGTCCATGGCTGCCGCTGCCCGGATTATGGTACGGAAGCACATCCACACGCCCGTAATCCAGAGTCCACTGCGAGCGAGCGTGGGCATCTGAGTAGAAGTTGTCATGTAGGCGATAGTATACGCAACCCGAACAGCCAGGAAAGCGGCGACAAACTGCGTGAGCTCAGCCTCCTCCAGCCCAGCCATGTTGCCCAGGACGACCGCTCCGAGAAAAAGAGAAAGGTTCTGTCGACCGTTAGTCCATGAGGCAGAGAACTCCGTGCCATTTTCAGCCTCACCTCCATCCCGTTGGCATGGCACGCCTCCAGACGCTCGTACGTTGCATATGTCTTGGCAGGAATGCGCTGCTTCAGCTGGGCCTTCATGTCGCTCGAGCGCGGATTACGGTTATCCCAGGTGAGGAGCTTGCCCTGAGTAGCAACGTACAAGGCCAGTGCATGAGGCAAGAACGAGACTGCAGATAGCAAAACCAGTTAGGCAGCGACTCTCACGTGAAACTTCACTGGAGACTGGAGAATACGTACGGATGAAGTAGGCGGGGATGACCAAGACCGAAGCATTGTAGCCATTGGGAAAGACAGACATGGTGCTTGTTCGATCGTTGCTGACGCACAGTTGCTGGTTGAAAACAAGGAGAGCTCTGGGTGTTTTACAAGAGCTTGTTTATGCACACGACGAAGATTATTCGTGGTGAGTGCCGCTGAGGCAGGTGCGCTTGCTCACTGTACCATGTGGCTCGGGCCGCAATGATAACATACGTCCGGGTAAGGAAATGGAAAGTGCGCGCACTTACCGTTTGCTCTCTGGCATGGCCTTTCTTATGCTCGTGAATTCAGTAGACATCAGGAAGGACCTGCTTTCATCTGGGACCACACTAATCTTCACTAGGTACTGACTCTACCTTCACTTGATGCAAGATGTACTCGCACCTCGTAGCCTGAATGACACCTGTAAAGGCTTTAGCATCAGACTCATACTCTGTATAAGTAAACACGGCTTCACACACATTGTGATCACAGCTGCAACATCATGGTTTTACGCATCCAAATCACGGTTGTAAACACTTCACAGTAAAATATATTTCATTTACACTGACATACATGGCACCTTCCCGGAACACTAGGTTCGCTCTCCATACTTAAACCGTTCAAATGTTTCGTTTCACACCAGTTTCCATCCCGCCGCGTAATTACATTAGTTCCTTGGTCCTCTCTTCACTCTCTTTGATCCATTGATCCAGCAACTGCCTGTTTCTAGGCTTGAAGCCAACCTTGAAGTACTTGGGCTCCATGGTGAGACTTTTGGGCAGAGCATTTGCTTTCAAGCACTCCAGGTACGGCTCATCTCGCGGGTCGACAGGCGGTGTGAATTCGAATGCAGAGATGAGTCTAACAAACGCAGTGAACAGCTCGCGGTTCGCAAGATGCGAGCCTAGGCACATGCGCGATCCAGCCCCATAACCGTAATGCGAAGTCCCACCCCCCTCAGCTACGTTAAGATACCTTTCTGGGTTGAACTCTTGAGGGTTGTCAAAGTGTTCCTCGTCGTAGTTGGCAGCGTATGCGTTCATGTAGAAAGTTGTGCCTGCTGGGAAGACGACACCGTTCCATTCGATGTCTTGTATCGATACGCGAGGCAGAGACATGGGAAGGACAGTCCAATATCGGAGGATCTCCTTGTATAATGCAGTGATGTATGGGAGTTTTTCTTCGTACAAGCATTGCTCCCAGGCGTCGTTGTTTGGGTACACTTTCATAATCTCATTGTACGCACGTTGCTGGATCTTCTGACCAGCTGGTGAAGCAAGGTAGGCGATTCCCATGATAATATTGGCTGGTATAGTGTCCAGACCCGCTGATACCATGGTCAGGCCGATGGACGTGATCTCATCTAGTCGTATATTAGCATTGATGCTATAACAAAAGAGGGAGAGCGTACCGCGGTTCAGCTTTGCTTCCGGATCTTTTATGATGTTACCGGTAATACATGGCTTATCCGTTCCATTCTTCATCTTTTCCTGCAGTGTGCTAAGTAAGTGGTCCATGTATACATCCCTCCTCTTTCGAAAACTTTCGGCCTCATTGCTCGTGCCGGGCAACAGTCTCAATAGCGGAACATAGTCTTGCCAGTTGTTGCTTGTCGACCTGAAGTTGCCAATCCCACGTTCAACATCCACAATCTCCTTCAAAAGTGGTGCGTCTTTGTTTCCATCGATTCTGTATCCATAATTTAGAGTCAAGGAGGTATTGAGGGCGTATCGCTGCCAGTATGCCCGGGGATCGAGATCGAGCTCTCCATTCTTGCTGTCTTGCAGTAGCTCCTTGATAGAGACTGTCGACTCGAGGTCGATGAGTGGCATGTACGATTGCACGGCAGGGCGGTTGAGCGCTGTGGCAGCAGCTCTACGGCGGTTCTTGAGAGACTCATCCCACGGAGAGGTTCCGATAGTGAAGCCTTGTGAGGATGAAATGACCTTGTGGAAGGTGTGGAGCATGGGTCGAGAGATCATGGCTGATTGATTCGTAATCCAGAGATGTCGAATCGAATCGAATGAGTTGGCAATTACAATTCTCTAGATACCTGGCTCAGTTTCTGTGTTCCTGAGGGATGCCTCTCACGGATTGAGTCTTCCTACTTACCCTGTTTCCCATTCGCACCTGGAATACAGGTCCGTACTTCTTCGCCCATCCTTGTGCCACTTTTACATGGTAATCGCCAAGTTCAGGTAGGCTCCCTACCAAAGGTAGTCCTGGAATTTCTGGTAGTCCTTTTATTTGTGGTTTGTCGGTCCCATAAAGCACCCTGTACAGGACAAGGCCTAAGATGGCAACACCAGCGATGTAAACAGGAATAGTCATATTTCAGACTCAATGCAAACAAGAAAGTTGTACAGAAAAGAAGGAGAGCCTGTGATGATATTTGTAGCCAAAAGCACTCATAGGATGTGCATTTCTAGTGCTGATATTCGTATCCCACAGGGTGGCACTTTATACCACACGCATGTCGCGGTCAGCAGCATCATCCTCGGCCTGACTGGCTACAATGATACCGGCTGACATCCGTTCAATAATTACATCGCTGCGGGGGGCGTTCACGGCGGAACTATTCACTGCGAAACCTAGCAGTTCATGGTTGTTCAAAGCGGAAATGGTCCGCGGTGTGATGCAAGGCGCCGCGATGATGTACGTAGATAGCACAAGCGCAAGAGCTGTATCAAAGTAGATACGCGCAATGAACTTAAATCATCGGCTAACCGCATCGCGTAGGGCCCGTGTGATGGCGATGTGGACTAAATCCCTGGCCCGTCATCCATGGATATGGATGAACGAAGTTGCACGTTTTACGACAGCACCTCCCAAGATCAGTATCCTACACAAATGTCGAGACGGTTTTAAGAATATCATTCTTATCACTGGTTAGGGGCGATTTCGGTCATATCTTCGGTTTGAGGCTGGTAGGCCGAATCATGATAGCATGGAGCGATGGAGAAGACCTGCTGCAGGCCACTATAGCATGCATCTTCTATGTGACATGGTGGGGTTTATCGCTCTTCGTTGAACACAAAAAGAAACTTTAGGCAAATCCCAACGTGAGTGCAGGTTCAATGCGACCGACACAATCTCCGAAGCCCACCAGAGACTGATCATCTGTACCACATACACCTCGGATAGTAACCTGATCACCGTCCTCTAGGAACGTCCTCTTCTCACTATCCCCTACTACAATAGAATTCTTTCCGTTGCTACTCTGTTCGAGAAGACTTCCAAACTCAGCTGGAGAGGTACCGCTGATGGTACCAGAGCCTAACAAATCTCCAGGTTGAAATGGGCAGCCCGTGATAGTATGATGTGCTAACATCTGCGGGAAAGACCATAGGAGGTGTCGTGCGTTTGTCTTTGTCACGGTTGCTGTATTACCGGAGGAAGCTGACAACTGTTAGCTTGAGAACCGATAAGGAGCTTACGGTGAAGGGAGACGTACTCTTAAGGTTGACCTCGAGATTGATGTCGTACACGGTCTTCTCTTCCTTCTCTCTCAAGTAAGGCAGAATTTCCATGTCGTTGTCTATACCCTTCGTCTTGAATGGTTCCAATGCGTCCGCCAGGACGACCCAAGTGCTGATGGTCGTCCCGAAATTCTTCGCATTGAAGGGCCCCAACGGTGTCGACTCCCATGCTTGAACATCCCTTGCAGACCAGTCGTTCATGAGCACCACACCGAACAAGTTAGCCGCGGCTTGATCGACTGGAATCGGGACACCTTGTTCGTTGGAGCCACATACAAAAGCCCCCAGCTCCAACTCGAAGTCAAGCTTCTTGCAGGGGCTGAAGGTGGGCACCTTCTTCTCCGCTGTCGGGTCGAGTAGTATCTGCCCATTGGGCCGCCGGATTGGTGTTCCAGACGGCACGATTGAAGAGGCTCGCCCATGGTAACCGACTGGAAGATGCTTGTAGTTTGGATTCAAAGCATTCTGGGCGCCTCTGAAGATGACACCGCAGTTGTAGGCATGGTTCAGGCCCACGAAGAAATCGGTGTAGTCGCCAATCTTGAAAGGCAAATGGGCTTTGATGTCTTTGAGGGGTATCAAGACTTGCTTCTGGAGTACCGCATTGTTTTTCAGCACATCAGGATACGTAGTTTCCTCGGAGAAGACAGTCTGGATGTACTTGCGAACTACAGAGTGAATTGGGCGGCCGAGGGCTGCAAAGGCGTTCAGCGATGGTTGCGAGAAGACAGCTTGGTGTGGCTGTATGGTAGACAAGCCCAAGAAGCCATTGTTTGCAGCAAAGGCTTCGAGATCTAGAGCATGCTCTCCAATGGCAACTGCCACGCGCGGTGTCTTGGACGAGGGTGTTGAGATGACGCCAAACGGAATGTTGGCCAATGAGAAATGTGAGCCACTCGGAATACTGAACCAGGACTTCAACGAGGCCATGATTGTGCGAGTTTGGTGTTTTATCTTCTCCTCGGGAAGCTTGCAGTGATTAGATCTTGAGGCAATGCCGATGGCTCACAAGATAAGTACAAAAGGACTTCCAGCTCTACTGTCGGAGTATATCCACTGGGGTTTACTATAGTCACGATTGCCATGTCAGAGTCGGACTTTCGGCCCCGCAGCGTGCATATGCTGGCCTAGTTGCAGGTTGCGCGATGGAGCGCCATCGGCTTGTGACGGAAGGGTGAAGGCGGACCGGTTCCGTCATTTGCCCTCTCCACCTGTGGGGTAAGCCGAAGTGAAGCCTTCTGCGACGGAATGGGAAGCCGCGCATTACCGCATTGTGCAGGCACAACATGGCCGACCAGCGCTGCATCGTAAGACATTTAGCACGCATTGAAGACGGTATTGAAGCCGTGCATCGTCTTCTTTTGTCTACAAACAAAGCCATTTGCACATTGATCCATCTTGTCTAAACTAACATACAGGATGCCGATAACTGAGTTCGCCTTCAAGGAGAAGTACAGGTACCAGAACGGGTTCAGCTCGTACCATGAGTAAGGCCTCATAACGACCTCCTCACCCGGGGACCTACTGCTGATGATACTCAAGGACAGAAGCCATAGAGGGCGCGCTTCCGATTGGCGCCAACTCGCCCCAAAAACCGCCATACGGCCTCTACGCGGAGAAGCTCTCGGGAACCGCCTTCACAGCGCCGCGACACGAGAACCAGCAAACATGGCTCTATCGTATCCTGCCTTCGTGTGGTCACAGCAACTTCGAGCCTCGCGAGGCTAAGACGTTCAACACGAACCCTGAAAACAAGCCGTGGGAGAAGATCCACTACATCCCAAACCAGCTGCGATGGGACCCTTTTGACCTTGATGAGACGGTAGACTGGGTCCATGCCCTCCACCTCGTGGCTGGCGCCGGCAACCCTACAATGAAGTCGGGTGTCGGATACTACATCTACGCAGCGGGAAAGGACATGGCAGCCAACGAGGCCTTCTACTCGGCCGATGGCGACTTTCTGATCGTGGCTCAGCATGGCGTGCTTGATATACAGACGGAGCTGGGTCGCCTCATGGTGCGCCCAAACGAGATCTGCGTCATACCACGAGGTATCAGATACCGCGTCACCCTCCCTGACGGCCCTGTGCGGGGTTACATATTGGAGCTATACCAAGGGCACTTTACCCTTCCCGAGCTGGGACCTATAGGCTCCAATTGCCTGGCCAACGCGCGAGACTTCCAGGCGCCGGTAGCCGATTTTGACGAGGACACGGAAACTGAGTGGCAGATTCTCGCAAAGTTTGCTGGCCATCTCTATGCTGCGAAGCAGAAGCACACACCCTTCGACGTAGTAGCATGGCATGGCCTCTACTATCCGTACAAGTATGATCTCGGCCGCTTCAACACAATAGGGAGCATCTCGTTCGATCACCCAGACCCGTCTATATTCACCGTCCTCACTGCGCCAACCGACCACCCAGGTACAGCAGTAGCTGACTTTGTCATCTTCCCACCGCGCTGGCTGGTGGCCGAGGGTACATTCCGGCCTCCGTGGTACCACCGCAACACCATGTCTGAGTTCATGGGTCTAATCGGCGGCCAGTATGATGCGAAGACAGGCGGTGGCTTCCAGCCTGCCGGTGCATCTCTCCATAATGTCATGTCTGGCCACGGCCCAGACGCGGCTACTCACGAAAAAGCGTCTAATGTGCATCTACAGCCCAACAAGGTGGGCGAAGGTAGTATGGCCTTCATGTTTGAGAGTTGCCTTATGATTGGTGTAACCGACTGGGGCCTAAAAACGTGCCAGAAAATACAGGAAGGCTACAATGCAGAAAGCTGGGAGCCGCTGAAGCCACACTTCAAGAGGTCTGGTCTCAAGAAAATCGATAACGGCGTTGCACCACTGGTGGCGGGCACTGAGGGAGATAAAGGCCAGGTGCCTCACTATACTTGAGCTTGCATCAGGCTAGCAGACCGTACATTGAGCGAAGAGCGTCAGGATAGTTTCCGCATTAGACTAACGTCGGCGACATTCGGGGCTTACGACGAAGCTCACCGCATGTATAGTGATGAACGGTGCGTTGCAAGTGCTCAACAGGGAGTGTTGTTGTAGCCCCGCACCACGAGCTGTAGAGTTTCACGTCAACGTCAAATGCCATGTGAGCATTGAGTCCTGAGCAACACCAGGCAGCACAGGAATTGAGACTTCTTCCTTCGCAAACACTCATGATCCGAGAAATGCATTGTGCTACATGAATAACTCCCGTGCAAGTCCTTAGCTGATTGCCCGAACTCCGAGCTGGCCACCAGCTGCCAATGTGGAGCAGAGTCTTAAGGGTCCACACTAGCGTTAACCACGCGCGGGGCTATCTCTCCCACTTTTCTCCCTGGAGTTTGATTCTCTTCTTAACCATCCCTTCGTCCCCTCCCCCCCCGCCCTCTACCCTCCACCCTCCAATTCATTCAATCCATTCATAATCATGTCTGCTCCCGCCCACAAGTTCAAGGTCGCTGACATCAGCCTTGCGGCCTTTGGTCGCCGCGAGATTGAGCTCGCCGAGAACGAGATGCCTGGTCTGATGGAGACCCGCCGCAAGTACGCTGAGGACCAGCCCTTGAAGGGCGCCCGCATTGCTGGATGTCTGCACATGAGTATGTAGCATATGGTTCCTTGTATAAAAAAAAGCATTGCTAACTTTTGACAGCCATCCAGACTGCCGTGCTCATCGAGACCCTCAAGTTTCTCGGTGCTGAGCTTACCTGGACTTCCTGCAACATTTTCTCCACCCAGGACCACGCCGCCGCCGCAATTGCCGCTGCTGGCGTACCCGTCTTCGCCTGGAAGGGCGAGAGCGAGGAGGAATACGAGTGGTGCCTTGAGCAGCAACTCACAGCCTTCAAGGACGGCAAGACACTGAACTTGATCCTTGACGACGGTGGTGATCTTACTGCCCTCGTCCACAAGAAGTACCCTGAGATGCTCAAGGACTGCTACGGTGTCTCCGAGGAGACCACCACTGGTGTCCACCACCTTTACCGCATGTTGAAGGGTAAGGGCCTCCTCGTCCCCGCCATCAACGTCAATGACTCGGTCACGAAGTCCAAGTTCGACAACCTTTACGGTTGCCGTGAGTCGCTGGTCGACGGTATCAAGCGTGCCACTGATGTCATGATTGCTGGCAAGGTCGCTGTTGTCGCCGGTTTCGGTGATGTCGGCAAGGGTTGCGCTCAGGCTCTCCACAGCATGGGTGCCCGTGTCATTGTCACCGAGATTGACCCCATCAACGCTCTCCAGGCTGCCGTTTCCGGCTACCAGGTCACCACAATGGAGAAGGCTGCTCCTCAGGGTCAGATCTTCGTCACCACCACCGGTTGCCGTGACATTCTGACTGGCGCTCACTTCGAGGTCATGCCCAACGACGCCATCGTCTGCAACATCGGTCACTTCGATATCGAAATCGATGTTGCGTGGCTCAAGAAGAACGCAAAGTCCGTCACTAGCATCAAGCCCCAGGTTGACCGCTTCCTGATGAACAACGGTCGCCACATCATTCTTTTGGCTGAAGGTCGTCTCGTCAACTTGGGATGCGCCACCGGTCACTCTTCATTCGTCATGTCCTGCTCTTTCACCAACCAGGTCCTTGCCCAGATCATGCTTTACAAGGCTTCTGACGAGGCTTTCGGCAACAAGTACATTGAGTTCGGCAAGACTGGTAAGCTCGATGTTGGTGTCTACGTCCTTCCCAAGATCCTCGATGAGCAAGTCGCTCTTCTACACCTCGCACACTGCAACGTCGAGCTCTCCAAGCTCAGCGAAGTTCAGGCCGAGTACCTTGGTCTTCCTGCCGAGGGTCCTTTCAAGAGCGACATCTACCGTTACTAGATTTCTTACTGTCCAGCATTCGGGAAGTTTCAACACGACGTTATGAACTGGCATGATACCACTCCGAAAAGTTAGTTGTCTTCAACGGCATGGCATCGAGCCTGGGGCTTGGCGGGGTTTGGTCGTTCAAAAGGCGTTGGTTTGCACATCATCTACTTGACCTTTCAACCATAGTCAAGAGACGAGATGATACCCTTTGTACGAGTGTGATATAATGAGGAGATAGACTACGTTACTCCATGCAACGTAAGAATAGTTTCAGTCTACCATCTAAATGATAGCTGTGGAATGAACAGTTATGACAGGCCTCCATGCCCGTCATCGACGTCAACAACCACTCTTCCCATCTGTGATACTGTGACCTCCAGGCTCCACACATACCCTTGCCCCCACTTGTATTGTCGCGACGACACGCGTAAGATACTTCTTCAGTCATGCTCGACATGATGACATCGACAACGTACTTCCAACATGAAACGATACCGTTATCGCCCGTTGTGCATGTACAGGATTACACGCATACGCCACACATGACCAGGCGGGTTGCTCTGAATATCGCCTGTTACACTACAAATGGAGTCAATAGATGCCATGTCCCACTCCCTTGCATAGGATCGGACGTTACAGCATCTGCATGCATGCACGCCTCCTCAGATACTTCCCGCTCAGCATATGCACGTAGACGGATGGCCCATCGGACCGTCATCGCCTACGCGTAGCAACGTGTTGACACTTAGGGTTTCAATCAAATGTTACACGCCGTCCTCCCTTGCGTGTGTATGCAGAGTTTAACGGAACGGAGCAGACGTCAATGTGCAGAGTACGACGTGGGGAGACGAAGTAAAAAAAAAAGTACTGCATGCAACCGCTTGTTACAATGGCGTTTCTTTCCAATGCACGATATACGATATGCATGGCAGAGACGGTATCGTTGTGAAACTGGACCACTTCCCCCAAGACCGCCACCAGCAGGCGAAATGGCTATTCTGAGAACCTTACCATGGACCCCAGAACTTTGTTCCAGCATACCCCATGTTTTCTTTTCTTTCTTCTTACGCGAAGGAGGGGAAGGGGCTGGGGGATCAGCAAACCACACCCTTTCTTTCGTCGATCAAACCCAACCCGTCGTCGATCAACTCAAAACATGACGCCGACGACGATCCCACGTACGACCGCCCAACCGCCCAACGACAACGAGAAACGAGAAAACGACAATATTTCTTCTGTTCACCCATGCATTACACAAAACGACCCCATCAACTATTGGACCCACATCCACACAGACCTAAAAAAACGCCTCCAAGCCACCTCTCTACGAACTATACCTAACCCAACCCTCACATGCTGCTACTGCTACTTGCTGCATACTGCTGCATCCTCCCTTTCTCCACACGCAAGGTACAGCATACAACATGCAGGTACGAGGGTATGTGCAGAAACAAAAAAACGGGGGAAGGGGGGAAGGGGGGAAGTTTCAAGTTGTTCAGCCTCTCTGTCCACAGCGCGAGAAACTGTCGTGGGACCTGTCGTGGACCCGGATACCCGGTAAGAGAGACGGAGGAAGTGGGACGTGGACACGGACGCGGACGCAAGGTGGGCTTTTTCTCTTTATTTCCTTTTGCAAAACGTTAGGGGGGACAGGGGGGTTGCTCAAGGCTCAACAGCCACGACAGGCGGGGTTCCTCTTTTACGCGCGGAAGGTTTATCTGACGCCACACAAGATGCCCATGGCTTTTGATCGGTACCACGAAGATGAGTGGAGTTTATTTGTGGGCGGGGGCACGAGAATTGCGACAGGTAACAGACGGATAGAAGGATACAGAGTAGATGAATAAGCTGATGCGGGTATTACTGGTAAAAGAAGATACAGAAAACGCGAAATATGGAAAATGATATTACAATTTATCGCGGCCGTCTGCTGCTCCTGCTATACAAAGCATATGTACGTCTTTGTCCATAGATTATCGCCAAAACACTAGAAGTAAGAACCTATGATGCCAACGCATGGAATGGACGGGGAAACATTGCCTATTGTCTCCCTAGGTGATGATAGACCAATGTAGAAAGAGGTATCAAGAACAGTAGGAAACGATCAGCCGACCGGTGCTTTTCATCAGCGGTAATGATGCCGCGAGTGAAACGTCAGACGAAGTTATGGAAACGCCACAAATATTATAATGGATGGGAATGCCAAGGTTAGCGTAGGCCAATGACACTCTGACTTGATGTTAGCCCACGCTCAAACTCACGAAATTAAAGATGCAAACATACCATTTCAAGTGTCCACACTCTCCTTATCCACACCTTCAGCTTGCCCTCGACGCCTCTGACGTTTTCGAGCTCGACACCCTCCCACCAGCAGCGGCGAGCAGGTTTCCTCCAGAAGAGCAGCAGCTTTTGTGCCATTCCGACAGCGTTGCTGTTAGCGAGATCGTTGCCCTTGATATCCGTCCTTAAGCGCGCGAGAGCGATGCTGCAGATGACAGCTTTATTCGGCTCGCCGGCACGATGACCCCATCGATCATCGTGGTTGAAGCCGCTGCATATTGTTAGCTGTAAACATTTACTGTTCCAGTAGCGTGCTTACCCTGCGGTCAACATCTCAATGAGATGCTGTTCGGTGGTTCCGGGTTCCTCGCTCTTCCTGAGCCCGGAGAAGATGCCATCCTGTCTCAGCAATGCCTCTCCTGCAGCTCGCTTAACTTCAATCATCTCAGGCTGGCTAATGTCACGATGCGGCGGAATCGCGTAGAAGTCGAGATCCTCTCGGAGGACGATTATGCCAGCGCGGTCCTGCAGCATATCCCTGGCAGAGCCATGCATGGGCTCGATGGGCACAGCTTCGGTAGGGTGCTCTGAGGAAGCGGTCGGAGAAGGTGGCGACGCGGGAATGGTCTGGGCTACAGTGCGGAAGAACTCCAGCATATACTGCAGGGAATTTGGATCATACTGTGAAGGATACATATTGTCAGATAAGTATAATGCGGGGTTGGAGAGCTGGTACAGGATCTTGGCTATTGGGGTCAAGTGCATGGGGGGAGAGGGGGAAGAAGAAGTGGAGTTACCGACGTCGACTGGGTATACATCTCCATCGTGATAGGAGTTCATGTGCCCATCTGGGAGTAGACCATTGGGAAAGAGCGAAAGGAGGACGAATTCGGGGAGCGTAAGGAGCTCATCTCGCGACAGAGTAAATCGCGTGCCTCTGCAGACAAGGTTAGTTTCATAGTTTTGTGGGCGGCCGAAAATAGTTGTACCTCAGCTCCAAAGTGATGTTCTCATCCGAGCCACCAAGTGTGTTGATGGGCGGTCCTGCACTTGTTTGTGACACCTGAGTGATGATGCTCGCGGGACCTCCTGCGGATGCCATCACGTACGTAAACGACTCGAGCGGGCTGAATCCTTCACTGTAGGGCGGCGGTGGTTCTCCGTCGTCAAGATCTTTGCTACTGGAGCCGTCCTTGTTGTCGCGCGGAAGTGCAGCTTTGGTTGCAGCTACAGCGGCAGCAGACGACGATGACTCGGTAAAGGCAGGCGCTGATGTGAATGCTGGCGGGGATTCGTCTTCTGCGGTCTCGCCGAGCTTGTTTTGATCCTCGGCGTCCTCGGGAGGGAAGAAGAGAGAGGAGAAGGGAGGAGGATAGGGTGATTCGCTGGCTGTGGATAATGCCGCAGTACTGCTGGCAGGTGCTGTGACGGCGTACTGTGGATGGGCGGAACTGCGATGGCTGGACGTCGGAGGCAAAGGAGTGGCTACGGACAAGCCGTCTGTACTGGAGGTCTGCGAGCGAGACAAGGCGCCGGTAGCTATGAGTGCTGGATGGGACGAGGAGCTCGAAGGGGCAAGCGCGCTAGTGGCCGCGGTCAATTAAACTCGAGCGCGTGGGGACCACGAGGCAGCTAAGCGCATTAGGCGGAGCGGTGCTTGGAGTGAAGGGCAAGGGAGCGTTCGCTGTGTTGTGGTGTTGGGAGACGTCGAGCGTGTGATGAGGTACGGTGAACGCGGAGCCCTGGGTGATGAGGCCAGTCATCCTCTTTGGGCCTAGCGTACCTTCCAACTTTCCACACAAAGGCACTGTGAAGCGCCTGTCATTAGAAAAACGACCAATTGCAGCTTCAAAATGCACGTGGTCGTCACATCTCGACTCAAATCCGAGGATTAAGACCGAGAATTCAAATATATTGTTGACATGCCATGTACAAGTTCATGACTTTGCTATTTCACATGTTCGGCCCGTCTCTTAGTGCTTCTTTACCACACCCGCCTCGTTCGCTTGCGCTGTGATGCGTCGCTTGTAGTCCTTTACCGTTCCGTCAAAGTGTTCGATCGTCCCGTTGTCGCATACCCACAGACTTGTGCATACGTTCTGCAGCATGGTAACATCGTGACTAACCATGAGCACACCACCCTGGAACTTGTTCAATGCTTCTGAAAGTGCGTCCATGGCTTCAATGTCCAAGTGATTGGACGGTTCGTCGAGTACCAAAATGTGCGGATTCGTCAATGCCAGGCAGGCAAAGGCAACACGCGACTTCTGTCCTCCCGATAGCAGTTCCATCTTCTGCAGACCCGTCATACCGGTGATACCAAAAGCGCCAAGATGGCGGCGGTACTCTTCGTCCGCCTTGCCATGGTACTTCTTCGACATGAAGCCGACGGCGCTGTCATTCAGATCCAATGCATCCACGTGATGTTGAGCGAAGAAGCCCACGCGTAACCGCGGGTTTTGTGAGATCAACCCCGTAGTAGGTGAAAGCGCGCCGATGAGTAGCTTCAAAGCTGTCGTCTTACCAGCACCGTTGGGGCCTACAATACCGATACGGGAGTCGAGCTGTACGTCCAAGTCCACGTTTCTCAGCAAGATGTTGTCCTTGTTGTAGCCGAACGAGACACCACTCATCTGGATGATAGGAGGTGACATCTTCTCCACATCTGGGAACTTGAAATGGACAGAGTATTCCGCCTCTGGTGCTGTCAAAACGGGCATCTTCTCCAGTTTCTTGATCCTGGATTGAGCTTCGGATGACTTGGCAGCATTGTATCTGAACTTGTCGATGAAGGCCTGTAAATGTGCGCGTTCAGCCATTTGTTTCTCATACTCGCGAGCAGCTGTCTTGCGGCGCTCTTCTTTCGTCGCGTAGAATGAGTCAAAGTTACCACCCTTGTAGTAGTCCAGTCGCTCAGAGTGCTGGTGAATGATATCTGTGGCGACTTCGTTCAGGAAGGCTCTGTCGTGGGATACAACGAGCACTGTACTGGGGTAGTCCTGGAGGTAGTTTGCCAAAAAGGTAATCGAGGGGACGTCCAACATGTTCGACGGCTCATCGAGGAGCAGAAGATCAGGTTCACAGAAGAGGGCACGTGCAAGTGCCAGTCGCATCCTCCAACCTCCAGAGAAGGTCTTGGTTGCAAATTGCTGTCGCTCTTGCGAGAAACCAAGACCTGCAAGGATACTGGCTGCCCTAGATTCGGCCTTGTCCGACTCCATTTCGGCCAGCTTGGCGTGAATATCGCTCAGCGTAGTGTCAAGACCCTCACGTTGCACGTCCAGCTTGGCGGCATCTGCAGATGTGTCTGCCATGGTAGCACGCTCTGCCTCGATGTCAGCTAGCTCCTTTGTGATTTTCTGTGAAAAGTTAGCTGCCATCCAAAATAAGTCACCTGACGGCGTACCTCTTGTTCCCTGAGCAGATGCTTGCGCCAAACATCGGCATCCAAGACAGCTTGAAGTGCAGGTGTGTCATCTCCGGTAATCTAGTTATCTAGTCAGCTATCAGAACCTACAGGTGTATTTCATTGACTTACTTCTTGTTCCACGTGGAGAATCGAAATATGTGTGGGAATGGCAACCTCACGACGAGCGAGAGCTCTAAGCAATGTGGATTTACCAATACCGTTCTGACCAACAAGACCATATCTTCGGCCATATGCAAGGGTTAAAGAACTATCTGTAAGGATACGTAGACCGGGCATGGAGAGGTCAAAGCTATCAATCTTGATATCCTTACTCTTCGTGTTGGCCTCACCCAACTGCAGGGGGTTGACTGCCATGTAGAACTCTTCGTAGCTCTGTGCCTCATTAGGCTCGTTGAGCAGACGGGAAGCCTCATATTCAACATTCTTAAACTCTTTGCGATCTTGCTTGGCACGTAGTTTACGTTCAGCTTTCTCAAGCTTCTTGCGGTCGACTCTGGACTCGACTTTACGCGTATTGGCAGATTCAAGGTCAACAGCGCCACCCGCGAGACCTAGCGTGGAGGAGATGTTCCTTGAAGAGCCCACATGGATAGCCTGGTCAAGCTTCTTGGCTGAGGGTGCCATCTGGCGGCGTTCGCCATTTGTGCCATTGGCTGCATTCAGCCGAGAAACGAACTTGTCAACAAGGTTTTGGATAGTAGTCTCGTTCTGGCTTGAAAGGTCGCCAGAGGCTGACAAGAGCAGTGCGCTCACGGTGGCAGCAGCTTCTTCAAGCGGGGTAGGGGCATTTGGGTCGGAATCGGAAGTGAACTGGCTGGCGGCATGGGTCAAGTACCCCGCCGAATACTCAGACAAGACGGGGTCGATGTTGGGGATCTGAGCTCTGATCTCGGATTCCATGGTTGCGGGATGGCGGGTGATGCTGGGCAGGTGCCTTGTCCCACAATGCTGATGTCGCTTGTGGACGAAGGAAGCGTGAGGCAAAGGTCAATGGAGATGTTGCTATCGATTGCTATGATGCTATCGGTGCTAAAGTGTAGCCGATACAATAGCGGCTCGGTGGGCGTTTCTGCTTATTGCAGTCGCACGGCAGAAAGTCGACAGCAAGGAACAATTTGATGGGGGGCAAGCCGAATGTGGAGTGGCGCCCTGGCGTGGATTCTGGAAGAAGCGGGCGGCAGCCAATGGGAAGACTGGCGGCGGCAAGCCATCAAAATCAAACACGACAACAACCCGTCGTGCATGTATGGATTTGCGAGAGTGAGAGGGCGGATCTGCACCATGCGCCTGGCGGTGCTGGAGCGGTGATGTGCTTCCGGGATCGCACCGGTTACTCGCATTCGTGTACTGCCGCGGGAGGAGGGAGATGATGACACGACACGGTGACTTGGGGCACGGTGCGGCGGCAAGTATGGCGGCAGGCCATAAGGGGAGGGCGACAGCCATGATGAGGAGGTGCAATGTTGCAGTAGTGGTCATGCTCTACAAAGCTCTGGTGTTGAGGTTGATGTTGAACAGGCGTGCGCACGTGATATCAACAATACGCATGAATCCAACAGATGGTAAACCACGGACGCCATGATGGCATAGTGGGACATGCCTCTCTGGGCGGCGAAATGTGAATGGCATCATGTGCAGTATGTCACAGTACGGACACAGGCGCATACCTAGGTAGCTACCGGTGAGCTTGCCATGGGAGTGCATCTGGTGGCCCAGCGTCCGTCCTATCCTCTACCCATGTTCCCGCTCCGCTGCTCACAGTACGCCTGCACCGGGGTCGACGTGGTGTGCGTTTCGGCTATCAAGGATCTGGGGCCGTGAATAGCTTGTCCAGAAGCGCAATTGGTGCCCGAAGCAGCCGAGGCAGTAGATGCAATATCCGCTTAGGTTATGCCTCAGGAGTAGCCGGGAAGGCGTTGTCCCATGGCAGAAAGCAGATGGTGTTGATCATGGCCATGTCCATCATCTCTGCAGAGCACAAACACCCGCACCGACTACTGCTGGCGAGGGGGGCGGCAAGCTTTCGGTACCAAACCACGGCTGGGCTGCTACGGGTGAGCTACAGAAGCCGGTTGACACTTGCGTACTCACGATCAGCAAACATCTCCACTCGGTTGCAGGGCTCGCTCCAGGCAGTTCAGCGGCTGTGTGCCAATCAAGGCCATGTCGCGGCCAGCCCACGCCCAGCAGTGACGGGCGCCCGGGATGGGTCTGGTACGCTATATTTGGCCGCCTTCTGACGGCGAGGGGTTCGTGAGGTGCGCGCAGCCGCCTTTGCGCCTGCGGCCAGTGTCCCTGATTGCTGTTGATTGTTACTCGGCGCTAGCCCTTGTCCCACGCCCGCAAGCCTTTTGCAGCCAGCCAACGTGGTGATACCGCGCAGCACGGCAGCGGGTCCTTTGCTGGCTCGATGGTACTGGACGCCGCTCCTGCTCCTGCTCCTGCTTCTGCTCCTGCTCCCGGGGCGTGTCGCAGGCCGCGTCCATGGCTTGTCCCACTCCCACAGTCCCCACTCAGCCTGTCCGCAAAGCTATGACGGTCCAAAGTGAGGCATGGGGTCTGTGTCGCCTCCGTGTTATGTTTCGACATGCCGCTATCAGCCCTCATCGGCGACATCTCGCTAACCCCAAGTGCGCTGGGTAGCCCTGTAAGTAGATCCCAGAAGCAACAAGCACTGGATTTCTTCAGCCTCTCGTCCGCTCCTCTAGAGCTCCACCTCGCTGCCTCAGCCCGTCGCGGTGCCTGTGCCGACCTTCCTTCGCCCTGCTCTGCCATGCACCACGTCTCTCCAACCGTCTGAATTGAGCCCCTCCATTCCGATACCGACCATCCCGTGCTGTTTGCGACCGTAGTTCTTCTGGCACTCTGACATGCCATAATGCTCGACTTGTCGTCACAAGCGCCTCGACGAGTGACCTTTCCCCGGCGGCCTGGTTCGCAACGAGAATGAAAACTGTTCCAACGGTAAATCCCCTGCCTTTCTCAACCTCGTCCTGACCGCCATGCACTGCATCTTGTGTTGCCGTTCTTGCTTGTTTTGATATGTGTTGACGCCTCTGCTGCGTCTGCTGCCGAGAGCGGCCGCACCTTGCCTGTCTCACATCCATATACCTCACTTATAACAAGTCGTACTAGACGCCATGACTGACGGACCCTTGTGATACAGCTCTGTGCAACTGCCACTGTCGTTGGTGCATCCGCCGTTGGCCTGTCGTTCGGACGGGAAACCCCCTTCAACTCCCACCCCAGCAAGAAAAAGGCCGCGCCGGCACGCAAACCGCCTGCCAATTCAATGCCTACTGCTGTGCAGACCGCGACTGTGACCGCGACCGCGCCGCACTTTAGTCGACCCATACCGTCCGCGCCTGTTTCGCGCGGATCCCTTGCGACGAGGCCCAGCCAGGATGGACGCTCCCAACGCCGCATCGCAAGGAGAATGACGACCGACGATGCAGCCTTGCAGTTGGCAGCCAGTATGCATGCTTACGCCCCGAGTGACCAGGACATTTCTGACAGGGATACCGTCCGACACCCTTCGACACGACGCGGATCTTGGATCAAGCGCCTTTCTTCCATATCCCACTCCTCGAGCAGGAACTCCAGTCCCAGTCCAGGCCCCTTGTCCCCCGCCGTCTCCTGCTCCAATGGCTCCATGGCCTTTTCCCACGACGGCTCCACGGTGCCCATGGTCGGCCACCGCGCCTCTTCGCCCATGCCGCCAAACAAACTGGTCAAGCGCGCTTCTTCGGTACGCGGGGCTCACGACGCGCCTGTCCAAGGCTCTGGCACTCTGCGACCCGCATTCCGTCGACCGGCTACCAGTCATCAACGCACCGCGACGCTACAGAATCACAATGCGCAACCACAGAGGACCACCAAAGAGCCAGCGATTGAGGAGTCAAACTACTGCGCGAGCACCGACAGTGAGGCCGAATACACGCAATTCTTCACAGCCAAGATCACCAAGGAGCGAATATTAGCCAAAAGAGCTTCTTCGGGGCGGCCAAGTGCGTTTAGGAGGATATTTCCGGATGAGAAGCACCTGCCCACCCTTTTGCTCGCAAAGTCGGTTACAGCAGCTACAGAGGACGTTGAAGACTCAACAACCGATGATGGCGATAGTGTCTTCTACATGAGCAGACCAGAGACACCGCTTAGCATGTCAGCTGTGCTTGCTTCCAGAGAAACCTCGCATTCCCGCCGCTGGCCATCTTCCTCGACAACCCCCCTGGATGATGCATCTCAACCACCCAAGCGCTCCTTCTCCATTACCAACTTTCTTTCCTCATCCAAGCAGTTCGCAGCACGAGCGTCCAGGCCCTTGCTTTCACGCCGGGCAAGCCAGCAGGCTTATTCTGCCCGCATACCGCCTACTACCATGCCTAGGCGACCGCACAGCACGTCTTATGGGGAGTACCAACAAGATGCCACCGAACCAGCGTTTGCCAAACGCGAGATTGCAACATCGGCCGGCCCCCTCGACACGAGATTCGCACACAATGCCCTCCATAGCGGCTCTGTGTCGCCGCCCCTGCCCACAAGCTTGTCCCGCTCTGTGGATTCTGATACCGTTGCTGTGGAGGCCTTGGCGTCAATGCCTCAGCAGCGCGAGGTCGTAGCCTCAGCCGCACTAGGCGGCGCCAATCAGACGCCACCATCCCCTACTCTAGCGCAATCTGCCGTTCGGGTTTCGCGTCACTCAATGGCCCCCTCCGAACAAGCCTCGACATTGGTCGGCTCCTCTGATAATGAGGTTCGCGGCCTAGGCTCAGGCGACGAAGACGACGCAGATATACAGAGCGAGACGCTGTATGATTCGTTGCACACCGGCGCAACAAGGAGTACGGCAAGCGGCGCCCGTGGGCCTCGCATTGAGACTATATTCGACGAGTCACCCCCCTCCAAGGTCAGAGTTACAGCCCTGCGCGACTTACTCCCGCCAGGTTCGTTCCGCGACCATACCATCAATGGTGTCGGCGGCCAACAGAGCATCACTGAGGAAGAGGAGAGCATCGCAACGCCCGTGCGGACAGTCCGACCCCAGCGCTCGCTGCAGGATTCGCCCAGCTGTGGGCGAATGCATAGCGCGCCGCTGTTTCCTAGCACGATACCGTCGTCCCCCTCGAGCATGCCCAAGCCGCTCTCGCTTGGCACTTTGGAATGGGATTCGGGAGCAGGCCACGACGACGACAGCAGTAGGTGGTCATTAGAGGAGGCCGATGTTACTGATCCTTGGGTTGATTATCCAACAGTCAGTCATGCGACCACGCCGGTATCGCTGCTGCCACACCACCCACACCATCGCGCAACCGGCCCTAATTCCAAGCCCACCACTCCACAGCATCTCACAGCAGAATATGGCGACCGGGATGCTCGCAGCAGCATCTTCGATTGGTCCGAGCAGCAAATCGCAGACAAGAACTGTGGCGCCCACACACCACCACGGCCGCGGACAGTGCACGGCAAGAAGGATGCAGACCGCAGATGTAGTCGTTCTGTTGGTCGCAGAGCACCTAGCGGGTTACACGCTCGAAGTCAGAGTGTACCCGTGGTCCCGGATCTGACTGGTAAGCGTAGCACCGTGGTCACCAACAAGTTCGGCACCTGGGGTGTAGGAAGTAAGGGAGTCACCGAAGATTGGAATGACGACTTTGACTTTTCCGAATTGAACGAGGATCCTGTCGCAGAAAGCGACAGTCCTCCTAGCAACCCCACAGCCATGGTGGTACCAAAGAGCATTCAAGAACAACAAAACAATGTCCTGGCCAATATCAGTCTTCTGCGCGAATGGGGCCTCCTGATTGAAGAGCTTAAAGAGCACAAGGTACGCGCGGTCGCGCTTGGCATAGTACAAGATTCGCAGTCTAGCATGTGGGAAGAGGTCGATGCGATGATAGACCTTGCCGATCAGGAAGCCGACCACGGCGGCGTTGCTCACGACTCACCTCCTTCGTCTCCTGGCTTCGATGCAGATGCCTTTGAGGAACCTTCGCCTAGCCCCAGCCATGGCCGAGGGAGGGGCAAATTGACGGAAGACACCATCAAGCACACAGGGAGAAAATCGATTCTTCCACCAAACGACGACATTTTTGCCCCACAGTCTTCTCCGCTACCACTCAAATCAAAGATTGACAACGCTTCTGCAACTAGAGATCCGAAGGCTATCGTGACGAGGCCGCGCAAGGACTCAGAAGCCAAAGCACGATCGGTGATTGAGGCGCTCCAGAAAAGGAGGAGCACACATGAAGCGATCCTGGATGTCCCACCCACACCTTCGAAGAAGGTTCCATTCGACACAGCGACTTTACGGCGTATTGTGCCATATGTCAGCACATTGACACACAAAGTCAAAGAGACCATTAGAGATGTTGAGGGCTTGTACTCAAGCCCCAGTGCAAGTCCAATGCACGAGGAGCCACCATACAGCAGGAACTTCCAATCGGATGCAGACCTTGCTGCTCAGATGAAACTCATGACGGTCATGTAAACTCACAAACTACAACGACGCAACGAGCATGTTGAAATAAACATAGCATTCACTTGGTGCTGGCCACTCTTATCAGGGTCAAAACTTGGGCGGAGAAACACACGTTTCTTCTGATATCTCCCTTGGATCAAAAGGTTCGAGCGACCACGGAGCCCCACACGGACCTGATCACCTATCACCCTGTATTAATTACGCTGCCGTCGACTACTAGGTCAGGCACAGTACTGCATTTGAGCGACACAGCATTTGCGATTTCCTTTTGCATAGTTTACAGCATTTCCCGGCCACGATCCACGCGGTAAAAGAGGTCACACGCGAGACGAAGAGCACGGCATGAAGCATGCATATGTTTTGTTTAATCGAAGATTATGGCGCATCGAGGATAAAGGGGTTTCCTTTGTGGCCAGCGAGCATATAATACTTCCGAAGAGGAGGGCATACGGCGCAATTAGCAAGCCGCTTTTTTTGATCATGTACAAAAAGCGGGTTGGGTCTCTTTCAGTCAGTTTCTTTCCGATTGGTCTTGATCTTTGGTATCTTGAATCGCCATCGGAACCTCTCTCTCAAAAAAAATCCACAGCATCGATATATGACGGCCGCACGATCGGTGTCTCAAGACGCGAATACAGAAATCTTTCAACATATCTTAACAACTGGGTCTTCTTGGTCCAACGTGATGTCCGTGTTGTTTACCTCTGGATCGGCCGACGACGGTCCAGGCCATTACGTGGTCCATGACAACCACGAGCAACCTTGTGGTAACAGCCGTGGGGCCGACGATTACTGCAAACGGCGGTATAGTGCGTGGTCCGAATAGTATTCATGAAACTACCATAGCTTCCGAGCCGTTGTCGCAAAGCCAGATACTGTGGTCCCAAGACACAAATTTCATGCATATGCATAGCATTTCCATCCACCATCCCTTATCCACCCGAGATGCAGTATATTCTAGCGGTGTTATGATCGCCCGTGCATACTGTTTACATCCGCGAAAACCTGATCTCCATACAGTAGCTATCACGTGCCGGTGTGTATAGCCGCCCGCCCCGCTCTCGCTTTCGGCCCTGCCCGAGTCAGTTGTGGAGAGCGAAAGACGTGCGTTTGTTTACTATACTTGTTTAAGTAGAGCGAGAAGAATTGTTGATTAACAACGTCATAGAGTGCAGACAGACCAAGCGACAGAAGGATGTTTGCACAACTCCGCCCTCGCTCTACCTACTGTAAGGAAAGTATTTCATATCAAATTTTCTACTAAATAATGCCAGGATTGACAAAATCTTGGAAAAGCAAGCAAAAGCAGGGCAGCGCGTCGGCATGTCGCTGTATAGCCGGAAAGCCGAAGCTAATGTGCGACGTGCGTGCAGCTGTGCCAATCTCTGCCCCCATTGGCACTAGCAATTTTCTGCACAGCACAGTTCACCCAGAGGTTGTTGTGGTACTCCGTCCATCCCCCGGCTTTTTTGGTCCATCGATGGAATGGCTTACCAGATTTTTTGGGTCTGTTTGTGAAGAGATGGCTGGTGCTAAGTCTTTGGTCCGCTAACTTGCCTCACTTCATTCGGGGATTGCTCGTCTGCGCCCAGTGACCATGGGTCAAGGCTCGATATTGGGGGGACTGTCAGCGCTTTCGATAAGAGCCTGCGCGCGGTCTGGATGCTGGATCGGCATTGGAAGTCCGTTATTTTGTCTTGGGCAACGCGTATCGATGACGGGCTTCGCATCGCCGCTAATCGTTGTGGCGGTGACATTGCGTTGGCATCGCTGAGTGGTAGGAACAATATGAGATGCAGTCCGGTAGTTGTATGGTTCGTTCCATTTCACGCCGGTAGCTTTCGGTGATTAGTTTCCTGTGGCGATGGCTCATGACGGCTGGTTGTCTCATGGACTCGTACTCGTCGTTGGGAGCCCTAATCATCGACCCGTTAGTCCGAGATTTCATCTGTAATGCCGGTACACTATAGCTCGGTATCTTGTCACTTATGCCGAAGGGCATCAGTGACGATAATCCAGTCATTAACCATTTGCATCAGCGACTTTTTGATGACCCAGAAGCAAGTTACTCACAGTCACCAGACGTTGGAGCGTGACGATATAGCAATGCCAATACTCCAGCGCTCGATAGGTTTGGCTCTGAGGAATTTGTTATATGAAGCAACTATGGCACTCCCGCTGGCATGGCTAATGTAGACATTGACTTGACTGACGTCTCACTAGCTCAGTACTACTGCTGCAGATGGCATAGAGATTACCACCTGTATAGCGTTGACCGTTTTCAACGCTTGTAGAGTTCAGCCGTTGACCACCAGGCAGAATGGTTGACTTTAATGTAAGCCCAGTCTGATGATCTCGTATCGCTTGTACATACAAATAGTCTCATTGTGATTTCAGGAATTCTACAATTGAGGTCATCACATCCTAAACCCATATAATTTCAATCACAGTCCTAGTCACAATGAGCGGTTGCTCCGAGATTGCACTAGTCTTCTTCGTGACATCTGCAGAAACTACATGTATAGCAGATTCCTATGGGGCACCTCAAAGCCTCATGATTGCCTGCGGATTAGGGCTGGATAGCATAGTGTGGAAGATAGTGGAGTCCTCAAGCGGATGCAGCCCGGACACTCCGTTCACACTCGCACCTCGAAGCGTTTACCTACTGCACTGCACCACAAGAGTAAGTACAGGCAACGAGAGCGGTGAGATTCGTGTAAGTGCGAAGTGGAGTTGAGAAAAGTTAGTTTAGTAGTTTGCTGACTAGTAACATACGTTATGGTCATGATCGTATGAGCTACCCTCTCTGTATGAAACATAAGCCGTTCAGCTATAGGGCTATCAGAGCGGACGATGCACATCACGTGGAGACAAGTGGACCTAACGGCATCACAATTATTCACTGTGCAATGTCGTACTTGAGACCGCGATGGTTTGGCAGGAGTTGATCGATTGATGAGGGTTCCATGACGTGCGTTGGGGCTTGGAAAGCGCAAGCCAAGCAACACCAGGAATGCGCCACTACGACATCAAGGAACCATCAAGTGGCAACTATGCGTCCCGAAAAGAGGGGTACATGAATGATATATTTTGCTCGTCCTTCTCTGGTTGTGGTTTACTACACATCGACTCTAGCGAACGCTCAAAAAAACGTTCGAAATCAAGCCTCTTTTTTCCCACGGGCTGTCTACAAGGGCACGCGAATACGAAGTCGCGGCGCGTCAAGTAAACTTGATCTGTGTACCTTATATAACCGACTCGTATTTCCCCATTTTCCCCATCCTCGCTAGCCACGGTCTGGGTCCTCGTCGGCAGCGGCTCATTGCTCGAATCCATCTGCGTACACGACTGATTCTCACGTCATTTCCCCATGGCTCTGAAACACTTATTTGCAGCAGGATTGAGCGCGTTTTCCGTCGTCGTGAGGGCCAAAGCGCAGCAAACTGCAGCCCCGACATGCACGAGCTATATTGCCCCACACAATGGTGCTCCTTTAGTTGCGCCGGGGTTCCGTGCCGAGATTGTGGCTGCTGGCCTAAGGGATCCTCGCAGCATTGTGTTCGATCGGGAAGGTGGGTTACTGGTGGTTGAGCAGGGACACGGGATTAGCAGGTTGAGGCTATCCGGTAATAGTACCTGTGTAAGGGTCGAGGGCAACGTGCAAAGAGTAGTCCAGGATGACTCTGTGAGTTGCATCGTGTGGTTTTGTTCAATGAGCGGTATTTGACTGGCAACAGCTGAACCATGGTATTGCATTATCTCAGGATGGTAGGACGTTGTATGCATCAACCCATAGCAACGTGTATGCCTGGGACTACGATGCTTCGCAGGGCAGGACTACATCTGATTCTCGGGACATCATTAAGGGTATGGGGGATAAAGAAGGTCACACCACACGTACTCTCCTCATGTCTCAGAAAGTTCCTGGTATGCTACTTGTCTCCCGTGGCAGTGTAGGAAATATCGATCTCCAGACTTTAGATTTGACCACTGGAGTATCGACTATCAAGGCTTTTAACACTAGCAACATTACGAACTCGGCATATGACCATGCCTCAAGCGGACTGTTGCTCGGGTGGGGACTCAGGAATTCTGTAGGCATAGCTGAACACCCCATATCAGGTGGTATCTACTCTGTCGAGAACAGCGTGGATAACATCATGCGAAGTGGAAGACTCATCAACGAGAACAATCCTGGAGAAGAGATGAACTTCCATGGCTACTTAAATGGGACTCGCAGCGATGTCGAAGGCGGCAACTATGGTTACCCCTCTTGCTTTACAGCATGGAACGTCTCGGAGATCCCAGACTATAGTGGAACAACTGGAGAGCAATTTGCCATCGGAGATCAAAATGCAACTGTCAACGACACTCTTTGCCGGGATGACTATATTGCTCCCAGAATCACGTTCAATGCCCATATGGCTCCTCTTGATATCAAGTTCAACTCTAACGGAACCGCTGCGTGGGTGACGATGCATGGATCTTGGTAGCCACCCCTCGTCCCTGCCCAAGACCCCATGCTGACCTTTTTGTAGGAATCGTGAAGACCCTATAGGCTACAAACTCAGCCTTGTGCAATTCGACGGCAAAGGCTCGCCTGTTGCGCCGGCAAACAGCACCACTGCCGCCATCGATATTGTATCCAATCTTAATCTCTCTGCCTGTCCTGGCTCCTGCTTCCGTCCCGTGGGCCTTGCATGGGATGCTCAAGGCCGTTTGTTCATGAGTTCTGACTCGACTGGGGAAATCTTCGTCATCACGAAAGAGGATGGGAGTGGTGTGGCAGACGTGAGCGAGGCCTCGACTGCTAAGGAGATTCCAAGTTCAACGATATCTGGAAGCGTACCTTCGCCGAGCAAGACTTCACATGCTGCAATTCAGAAGACTATGGGGAGTGGTGGTTATTGGGTTGTGGGTGTAGCTGTAGTGGTTGCACTGCTTTAATGATTGTGATTGCGTTAGGTGCTGCATATCGTGTATGCTACAATTAATTATCAAGATGCGCCTTGCTGGCAGCTGGACAAGGTGCAGAGTTACCATTGGTAGCTGAAACATTTTCTGTACATGCAATCATCAAGTCGAAATTAGCAATGTTTTCAGTAGTTTACTAGGTGCTCTATAAGAACCATACCGATATCTGACATTCACACTGCAGGCATCTTGGTTTCATTGAGGACATACAGAAAAGCCCGACTGTCTACTATATGCGTACAATCGAGAAATCATAGCCCACTGATGCCCATTTGAGATTTCGAAGACAACCACATTCTTGCTATGTCTTCCCATGCTGATATACATGTAATTGTTTTGGATAGATATGACATAGGATAAGAACAGCAAAGCTTATACAACAAGTAGTATTGTTAGGCGCACATTCGCCCACGTGGATAACAAATGATCACGGCCGTGGTTACGGCCAATATCTTCTACCTCAGCCTTCCGATTTCCAACATCGATCATGTATACAACAACAAAATCACAATCTATACTTTTGTGTTGCGTGAAAATGATACTTTGTTAAGTGTTGCTTCTTACTGCAAACGCATACTCGGCCAGTGCCGTCGTTTGCACCTCACATTCACCGCCGCCCTTGGGAACATCATAGATCAAAACGCACGTCATTAGAGATTGCCATTTTTAGAGAGCGACCTAAAATGTCACAGCATGAATGATATATGTGAATCTAAGGGACTGTGCGGCGCTGCATGATAGGCAGCACCTCACTTTCACCTCGACTTGCGAGGCCCAAAAAGGAAATCGGTCGCTCCACTTATCCTCACTTTCATCGCACAATAGAAGCTCGTGGAAATTCTCTTTTACTAGCGCGTTCTGCGAGTGTCTCACTCACAGATACCTTCGCATACAGCCAGTCCTTCGTCTCACAACAACAACACACTCTCGTTTCGACCGCTTGCCGAGACCTCACTAACTACCGCGCTGAAGGAGAAAGACCTATTGCTGACAACAACCCTACAGACATAGAATTTGTCATGGCGACCAATCAAGGCCAACCTGCGGGCATAGGCCTGCAGGAAATGCCGATGGAGGTACGTGGGGATAGACTCGCATAGGATCCCCCCACACTGACAATCTTGCTAGATCAAGAAGATGATCGCTCTTGAGATCGAAGACGACGAAGACCTCGTGTCGTTTCGGGCAGCCGGTGCCGCCACCAAGAACATCATTGACGGAGACTACGGTACCTTCTGGCGTACCAAATTGCGCAATAAGTACGACTACAGGGAGGTTAGCATGTCCTTAGAGAACATAGCCAAACTGTACCAGGAGAGGTCGCAGCTCTTCCGTCTCGGCATTCACATCGACTTCTTCTACGGTGGAACTGAGCTCGAAGTCGCGGCCGTGAGCAAATTGCAGGACCTGATCATGGGTAAGTACAATTCCTCACAAGATGGAAAATTATCTAAAAAAGCACAGAGTCTTTCCAAGGTGAAACAGAAGTCGACGAGTGCGGAGTTCACCACTCCAAGAACCAAGCCCGCCTGAGAGACTTCCTGCTCAAATCGCGCTTCATCAACGACAACAGGCGGGCCCCGTTGCCTACGGGCCGCGGACCTGTCTCTGTCGACGAGAAATTAGCAGCCACCAAGATTGTGTCCTTCCAACTCATCTTCGGCATCAAAGGCCTCACGCAGAGGGTATTCGCCTTCCCAGAGATCCAGTTCGTCGTGTATAAACACCACACGTCCCGCGAAATCTTTGACTCGGACCATAAGAAGGCAGACCTACAGTGGTTTCTTCACTGCATGAACTTTTGGCGCCACCAGATGAAGAATCGATACATGGATACGCTATACGACGTTATCGAGGCATTGGATGAAGAGGAAAAGCCCTCAGCTTGGCGCGGACCCATCACCCAAGGCGTACAGCCATTGTGCAACAACTGGAGGGGCACGTACTCGTATCTGACCTACCAAGACTATCATGCAGTGCGCCGAGGAGATCTGAGCGGGGAAAACTATGACCAGGGCGTTGACATGGCTCGCCTTCAGGTATAAAGCACACGATATCATCGTCGTACATTTTACTAAACACGCCAGGCGCTTGAGCTCAATTTCGCAAAAAAGAGCATCCTCCCAAGCGGTCAGAAGCTGGATTGGCCCATCGAGTTCGAGAACCATCTGCAATCGATCGAGAACGATACACGTGCCAAACGAGGCCTCAAGACTTCCGGCCCTTACGAACCACAGAAGAACTGCAGCAGCATTCACTTCGCTGGCAGTGGAGAAGAGTCTAACGGCAAGTACAAGATCCTTGGATGGCTCAACCCGTTGCCTCCACAAGGCGGTCTTCCTGGTTGGCAGCGCATCACAATGATGCAGCATACATCTAGTGACTACAAGAACTGTGACAAAGACAAGGGACTCTGGGCCTATGAGGGTGTAGTCGTTCCTGGTGGTCGTATGATCCTTGGTCGGGCTTGGCTCGTGAACGATGAGAACGGCAAAAACGTAAGTTATTCCTACGATCATCCTCGTATTAGTATGTACTAACGACGAATAAGATGGACAAGAGTGGACCATTCATGCTATGGGCCGTTGACAAGCCAGTCTTCGATGACGAGGAGTAGCCTACCCGCTATCCCGTTGACTACTCTACACACCCGCAACCCTTGTCAGACTCTCGTACCGATGACATCGCTTGATACATAATGGTAACACTCATGGAGTTTTGGAGAAAGTTCTCGGTCTCGGTCTCTGGCGTTCTATACCCCGGCGTCTACACACATTGTACATGCCCTACATACTGGTGGACATGTACACCTATGGCGATTTCCTCTTCGCTAGATGCATAGCTCGATACATGACAAAATTAATTCAGCTTTAAAAGAAAATGCGTACTGCATATGTGCTGTGAGTGATGTAAGGCTTGAGAATCCGTCGTGCTGCATGTACATCATCTGCGGGACCAGAGGCGACAGGTTTGTCGCTTTGATACGGTACATGGCGGAGAAATTGTCGATGTTTCTCGGCTGAGGGCGTAGATGCGTTTTTAAAGTCGATGATATAAGGCTTGAGAACGTGTCATGCTGTATGTCTATTTTGAAAGTCTCGGTTGAAGAGTAAGTCATGTAGGGATTGAGGACATGCCACGCAGCGGGCGCTTGGTAAAGGTTGTTTCTTGGAGTTTCCGGGATATGTCTGTCACGCAACATGTGCTTTCATGCTGGTGGTCTTTTGAAGCGTCTCCTCGAAAACAAGTGATGTAAAGCTTGTTGATGTGTCGCGCAGCATATACTTCTTGGAGTTGATCTTTTGAAGCCTTTGGATTGCAAGTGGATGATGTAAAAGTTCAGGACATGCCTTAAAAAATTTGCTTTATGGATTTAATCTTTTGAAGTCTTGAACTGAAAGTGGGCGATGGAAGGCATGGTCGAAATTCACAAGCATGGTAGATTAATAGTGTTCTCTTTACGCGCTTGATGCTATACCAAAGGAATATGGTCTCTCATTGAATGAGCCTAGACGAAATGCCCATGTATACGATATGCAAATACATAAACTAAACAAAATTACATGATTAGTGAGTGTACATGTAGAGCAGAGGCGCGAAGATGGCTCGGTTTTCGCATGCCAGGGCACTACGTCACAGCTCCCAAACAAAGGAAAAGCATGTATATAAAGACTACCGTTTCTCATTCATCTATATTGTTCGTTAAGTCGTTGAATCATTGTCGAGCCAGAAGACTCCAAGCGCAATATCCAATGTGCCATCCACTCCGTCAACTCAGTCATTGAAAACAAACAAAAACACACTAAGCAGGCAAAGGGAATGCAAGTTCAAAGAAATCATGACATTTGCCTTTTCTCTTCTCCAAAAAAAACTTCCCAATCAAAAAATACAAGAGGTATGTAACAATGTCTCCGACCACACACAAGACACAAATCCCAAGGCCGTGTGGAGTATTAAAGGAAAAGATGGAGCCGGGGGAAAGCATCTAGTACCTCGCACCCATGGGTGGCGGAGGCACCGAGCTACCGTACGGATTCGCATCCGCATAGGACGTAGGGTAAGACTGGTTGGCAGCTACAGGATATGCGTACGGATTAGCGCCTTGTCCATTGTTTCCTAGAGCATTCATGCGAGCCTCCTTCTCCCGTCGTTCACGGAGCTTTCTCCTCTTGCGGCGGCGACTCTCAAGCTCTTTCACACTATGACGTTGTTCATTCATCTCTTTCCATTCAGAGTAGGCCGACTTGATACCAAGGGCAGCGATACCCACAGCAGCGGCGTCTTGAAGCATGTTCTTTGATTTGCGCTTGCGCGCTTCTTCAGGTGACATTTCGCCCTCGCCAACAAGCTTGCGCCGTTTCTCTGAAGCAACCATGGAAGAGTAGACTCCGTGTGCCGCGTGGATGGTGGCCACAGTGGCTAGACCCGCAGTGAGGAATTCCTTACCTCGTAACTTCTTGCGCTTTTCCTCCATATCAGTAGACGACTCGGAATCAGTGTTACTGCTCCGTCGACTCCGCTCATCTCCTCCGCCCCGTGCTGCTAAAGCACCTGCACCTGCACCGACGGGCGCCGCTAGTCTGCGATCTGGGTTAGTCCTGGAAGGGGCTTCGGAATACTGGTCGTCCATACCGCGGCCTCGACTGTACGAGCGGCGGTTGCCCTTGCGAGATGGTACGTAGCTGTCGGCACTAGAAGAGCGGGACCTCTCGCGTCGGGAGCGAGACTTGGAACGGACGCGGTCGTAAAGGGCCTTGCCTGCTGCGAGGACAGCTCCGGTTCCGGCTACCTTGGCGAGTCCGCCCTTACCTCCATCCTCCGAGGCAGAGCGAGAGCGTCCACGGGAACGAGAGCGTCCGAAGATGGACCTGGACCTGGACCTAGCTCGGGAACGGGAGCGGGAGCGAGACCTGGAATCGTCACGGCCACGAGCACGAGAGCGGGAACGGGAACCGTTGGCTAGGCGCGAAGCCATAAGACCACCCAGGGCGGATTCAGCGACGTGTCGCTTCTCATGCTTGCCGGGGTCCCTGTCAATGAGACCGTCGATACCAGCAGCACCGAGAGCGGCAGTGGCGATACGCTGGCCCTTGGCACCAGTCCATGGGCCGGCTTCCTTGCGGCTGCGGAAGGCCTCGACGGCACCGGCAACTATGGCGGCTTTGGCAGCCTGCTCCCACTTCTCCGACTTGCGTCCTCCTCGGCTGCGGCTGCGCGACCTGGATCCATAGCGGCTTCGGCGGTCGTCTTGATAGCCGTACTTGTCGCTATCATATCCACGGTCGTCTCGACGGTAGCGAGAGCGGGAGCGAGAGCGATCACGGTTGTGACCAGTGACTGCGCCGATGATTCCTCCTAGGCCTGCTGACTCGCCGAAATCCTTGACTTGCTCGACAATGGACTTGCGGCGGGATGGCTTGGGGCGCTCAGTGTAGACGGAGGAATAGTCGTCGTCATAACGGTCGCGGTCCCGTCGGCGAGGGCGGTCATAGGAGTCGGAGTCGTCGTAGCTTCGGTTCACCGAGCGGGTGCGGCGGGGAGGCGCATACTCTTCGCGGTACTTGGTTTGCCTATACTCGGCACCGGGAGGGAAGTCGCGGGTGATCTCTTCAATGCTGTCCTCACGTGCTGCGGGGCGGTAGACGAGATCTCGTGCCCCGCCTCCACGGCCGCCGCGCTCAATGTACGTCGTCTCGGTCACATACTCGGGCTCCCGGGTTCGGTGCCGAGGGGCATAGCTGTACTCAGACATGGTCGTGTGTTGTACCCGCAGTGGGTCAAGAATATGTTGCTCTCAAAAGTAAAGGCCCTGTCCTATCCTAGGGGAAGAATGCCGTGTCTGGTCCGGGTTTTCTGTGCGACGTCGTTAGTCAAGGCACGAGGAAAAGAGAGATGACGTTGCAGGCACACATACCGGAAGGTCCGCTATTAAATACTGCCTTTACTTGGCTGGTGGCGCAAGTGATATGCTCAGTGGGCTGTCGCAATGAAGAATGAAGAGTGCCTGCGAATGACGGGACAAGGTGGGTAGGGGAATGTGTCGAGGGGGCGGGGAAGGCAGGCGATGGGCTCTATTTAACGTAACAGGCTGCTGCAACTCTCCAGGGCTGATGACTGTCCAATGGTCTTGGGACCCAAGGATCTATCTCGGTGCAGGTGGGGTGGCGTAGATATTACCGTTTGCTTGAGCCTGGGGTGGACGCTGTCTTTAGGGCACAGGGCATGCTTATGATGTCATTGATGCCTGCTTGATGGGTGTCAGGCCGCCGAGGCCGAATCTTCCCTCACCAGCTGCTGCGCCCAACGACTTGCAGACACATGAGACCACATGCAGGATCGCATCTCATCATCTGCTGCGTCTTTCAAACCCCCATTGCAGATTGCTCGCCGGCCGCCGCGTTAGAGACGCTTCTTGCTACTGCCATCTGGTTACTCAGCACAGCCCCTCACCGGCCGCCTCCGAACCTTGACCACAATGCCTTTTTCGTCTGTCTTACACAACTGTGACTGTACTCCCATGCACCACATATTGCCTCGATTCGGATGGCGGCGCTATCTCAGCCCTACCCATCAGTTTGCTTTTCTAGCTTTCCTTCCAAGTTTTGCGCTACACGCTGCCAACTCGGCAACCAGCGCTCGATGACGAAGCCTGGTTCTGTCGTTTTGTAGGGGTTCTACCTGCAGCATCACGTGAGTCGTATCTTATTGGTCGAGTTGTGCCGCATGGCAAAGAACTTGCACGAACATGCGAGGATACACCTGTCAACTAGTGGGCTGACATATTGACATTCGACCGGACTGTGCTAAAAACAGCATGGTGCCTGACATGCGTTCGACAAATGCCCAAAATTGCACTGTTCGAGCTTTCTTGTTTTGGGCCCCAATGGTTATTGCTCTGACTAGGATAACACTGCAAAAGAAAGCCTTTAGTCGCGCATGCTTCCATGATCCAAACATCACGCAGTCACCTGGGTGACATGAAATACTTGACACCCTAATATACAAAAGCTACTGTAGGCGCCACATACGACGATTAGAAATTAGAGTAGCGGGTTTTACCCACACGGTCATCGTCAAGTATGCCATGTCACCCAGGTGCAGTGATGGCATCGTTTCACCTAGGGCAGCAATTGCGTCGTCATGAGTCCATTTGAATCATAACCCAGCATACATAACCTACTCGATTGGGCCGTCTCTCCATGTGTTCAATTTCTGTCCTGCTGCTACTGCTAGTTCAAATCACTCACTTCCGCCCACCCACGATACCGCCATATTACCTGCAGTCAGCCTCCTCAATCAGAACTCCTGCTCTGTCCTGGTGCTCAACCTTGCCACTTAGTACGCCTCTGTCTGAACATGGAGACCATGCCGATAGGAAGCAATCCAAAGTCGACAGCGTTGAGACCACCAAACATGTTGATCATCTCGGGGCCATACATCTGAGCAATCCATTTCCAGTAAGCCTCCATGGAACCCCAGTGCGTAAGAATGCCCCGCAAGTTGGTGTTGCCGGACAGTCGAGCCAACGCAAACTGGACATCCGCGCTTGCATCGATAGGCTTCTCTCGGGGAAGCTTCAGCAACTCCTTGTATGTGCTCACCAGGTTTGCCTTGCCTACGCTAGCAAATGCTTCGCGGTATTTGGTGAACTCCTCAAAGGAGAAGAAAGCCTCAGAATCGCTAGGCTTCCAGTTCGTATCTTCAATGCGATGTTTGTTAGCGCGTGTACCCCTGTCGAATATGCGCTTGGCAGCATTGTAGTCATCGCGTTCATCTTCTTTGTATCTGTCAATGAGTTGGAAGGGATCCTCTTCCACCGATTCCCGGGTTTGTAGAAGGCCCACAAACGGAGACTTGAGTTCCAGACCGCCGAGCTCAACTGGAAAGAAGAGAAACCCATCAGGAACACCCTTCACGGAGAAGCGCTGTTCGATCATGTCCTTGAGGTGTTGTACAATGCTGCTTTTGGGAAAGATGCTGTCCTGGATGTGACGATGGGTAGCGAGCATTTTGTCCACATGTTCACGGCCGAAACAGTTGGCGGCCTTGCCGAAATTAGAGCTGAAGAAAGTCGCAGCATATGAATTCTGTTATACAAAATTAGTCTACTCCTTTTCCAAACCTAATAGATTTTTGGACCACTTACCCAGGCTTGGATGTAGTCGATCACACTCTTGGATTTGCCCTGTAGCTGTGTGCGCAGCTCTTCTACATGGCCGTCGACCATCTTTTGGTCAATCTCGAACCTACCGCTCTTCGGGTCGAGCTGCAAGAAACCCCAACGAATCTCGCCTTCTGGTAGGCGGTCATCGATGGTCTTCTCATCAATGTGCGAGATACGCATGCTGCCGGTCTTCTTCTCATCCAACTAGAATAGCTGTTAGTGTAACACCCAGAGGAAAGACTGGATAGAGACCTACCTTAACCCCCATAATTTCCGTGAAGTTGAGAACGCTGGCCCAGGCGTTTGTGCAGGTATCGTAGTCCTTGTTCCAAAACCAGACATCATCACCAATGCGGTAAAGATCCACTCCATGAGTAGCCTGATTTACAGCAAAGTCCAGGCAGAAAAGTACGGTCTCGCCCAACGTATCACTTAGTGTGTGGGAGCCAGGCATGCCTCGACGGCGCAAACGCGGCTCAGAAGATGGGTCATCTGCAAACTTCAACGGTGCATGGAGGTAACGCGCAAAGAACTTTGTCCACCTGTCCGAGATACCAAGAAAGCTGAGGACCGTCAAAATCGTCTCATGGGGCAGAAGAGAGTTCCAGGAGTCGAAAATCGTACGGAAACAAGTAAGTTCCCCATGCAGCCGTGTGTTGACGATAACTTCGGTGGATAAAAGGTGAAGTAGGCTTTGCTTCGCTTCCATTGGTTTTTTCGATTCATGGCGGTACATGTCGTCTTCATAATCGTACTCTTCATCTTCATCATCCTCATCTTCTTCGTCTTCATCCGTCCCTATATCCTCATGCAGATGCAGATCCTCTTGCGCGCTGTATCTCATGGCCCTAGAGGCAAGTTGTTTCCTGGGTGCTTTGCCACCAGTAGATTTTCTTGCAGTCTGCTTGGGGCGCCCTGGCATCGAAGATACCATAGCAATGGCTGGGGCTTGACCTGCCATCCTACGCTTCTTGACGACATAATCACCATACTCGGCTTCTTCTTCACCTTCTTCTGTCTCGATTTGCTGGGTTTCAAAGTCCAACAATTGGTGTGCGAAGTATCGGGCATGATGCCTACTTTTGCGCCTCTGTTCGAGACTCGCGGCGACCTTGGTACCTTGGTCGCCCAAGAAATACGAGCGCCGGATGCGGTCGGTTTTTGGAATCTCAGTGGCGTTCCGTGTCCAAGCCTCGTGTTTATGCATGGCTGAGAATGCTGATTTGAAGAATACAGACCTAATCAAGTGTTGTTGTCAGTTCTATCCTTGAAGCTCGAGGCGTTGCAACCTACCACTTTACGCCAATGTGATGCAAGAAGATTGCCTGGAGAAGATCGGAATCAAAATGGATGGAGAACTCTCCGTTGATCTTCCTTCGTTCTTCTAGTAGAACTTCAGCACCCCAAGTCCAGCGGCCGAGAGCTGTCATTCGTATGTTGAGGATGTCGCAGAGTTCCAGCAGGATCACATCTAAGAAGTCTGTCAAATTTGCGTTCCTTCTTCATGGCACAAACACATACCATTACTAAGAAAGTCTCTCAAAGTCTCTCGCTTCTCATTCGAGAGAAGATCAGAGTTTTGGAGCCCTTGGATTGCTTCGCGCAGAGTAAACTGGTTAAACTGCGCTGAGTCGTTGAAATTGTTCTCAAACTCGACCACTTTCTGACGTAGGTCACGGATTGCTGCTGTTCCCGCTTTCTTGTTTACTACAAATAGCTCTTGGAGGTACGAATGTAGTTCTTGCTCATCTACACCAGCCGCCTGGAAGACATCCTTCTCCCACTCGACACGTGAAGCAAGCTTCTTTGCACCGGGTATTTCCTCAAAACTCCCCGTCATTTCAACATCAGCATCCCCACCCGTGGTCTTATCGGAAGAAAGCCATTCGGTGACGAGCTTGCCATAGAGGTCCGCGTACTGAAACTTCGTAGACTGAACTGAAAGATATTGGAGCAGCGTCTTTTCCCAGTCCGCGATGACTTTTAATGAGACGGAGGGGTCGAAGCGAGCTTGCTCAATGAAACGATCAAGGTTCCTAATATCGGTCTCAAGGCGAATATTGCGGGATCGGTTGATAATTACACGGCTGGTCCGGCCATCTTTGGTTCCCTTATTGTCCGTCCGAATGCCAAGACATATTTTCGAGCCATCAAGTAAGAGGCCTACACGCTTGAGTGGATCTGGTTCTGCTTTTATGGAGTCGAGTAGCGCAGAGTACTCTTCTTCAAAGGCAACGCGTTGCTTTGCGAGCTCCTCAAGTTTGGTGGTGGTGATTGTATGAAGCGTCTCACCGAACACGCTACCTGATGCAGATGCCATTACGAATCAGTTGGCGTTCTTGAAGGATAGCCGGCAGCTGTATTGGATGTGAATTGAAAATGTTGATGAGAATCAATGGCTATTCGTATGGTTTAAGTACTATGAACAGAAGCAAAGGCCAGGATTTGCTGCGACACAAACATTAGGCAACAGCGTGCTAGGACTATACTATATGCAAGCGTAATGCAGGGCGGGATTGGCTCCATGCGGAGAAGCTCACATTTAGTTACGTCCCAGCTGAACCTCGCTTAGAAGCAAGAAGAACTTCGTTCGATGCTGTCATCGCTCGTCAGTAGCACAGGTGTTTCTCGAATGCCCAGATGGTGAAGGTGATGGACGTCCGCCGAATGTGAACACTTGTTATTAGCTCCATAGAGGAGTAAAGCTCTCCAGAACCTCATTGCACACGCTAGAGGGGCGCTAGAGGGGCGTATTCATTGAAAGTTCGCGGTGTGGTCATTAAAGTACCTAGGGAGGTAACTTCAAGTGCCCAATGTCTGTGGTTGTAATCAATAAGCGCAAGGGCAAACCTTCCACCCTTCTGCTGCCTAGTCTCAACACCCATGACTGCTCATTGCTCGCTGGAACGACTCATGCAGTTTTGGCATGCTCAGACCCAAGACACCCTATCATAAGTACCAAGGTAGGTAACAAGATCACTCGGCAAGGTACCTGCCTCGAAGCCAGCAACCAGCGCCTCCAACCCTAACAGGCTGAGGGATGCAATTGTCTATTTTAAAACACACTTTGCAAAGGCATTATCTCCGAAGAAGAAATTACAGACACTGAGCAAGTCCACCCGCAAAACAAGAAGAACGTTGTCGTATGTACTGTAAAGTCGCGAAGCACAAACAAGCCGTCACACGACAAGCAAGGATCCCGTCGCTGTGACGTAAGCCCTCTAAATTTGTTTTAGGCCTAGGGCTAGCCCTGGCCTCCGGGACGCTCGGCAAAACTCGGAGCGTTGCGCAACGTCCAGCCGCCTGAATAGTGCCGGCACACATATCCCGAAGCCTATAGTATTCCGCCTCACTTCAAAGTTACAGGTTGCTCGTCATTGCAAGAACTGAAAAAGTCTCGTATCGCTTCTCCTTGGGGAAGTTCCCACATTTTATCGTTTGTAGCGATGATCAGTTGGATTGTATCATGATTGGCTAGTCAGCCTCAGGAGACACCTCCCTGTCCAAGTTTGCAAATCCTTTTAGTTGCATGGACGATAAGCGCAACCATCTGGATCGTAGATCGATGATTTGAAGGAGTGCGACGAGAAGTGGACATTGACTTGGTTTTTCTTATTTCTATACATGCAATGTTGGCTCTGACCTATTATCGTTTCGCATCGACACATACGCGGAGAACCCAGCATTCTCTTCCCTCAAATAGCACTGGACCTCTGCTCCACCGTACTAGTAACATGGATACCGGTACCATTCATAGGCAATATGTGCTCTTCACTTCCAGAGGTGCTCCGACCCTGGACCATGTTTACCATTTGGCCATCCTCTAGGGCAACCCACTCCTCATCCCTTCCACTCAGATGGCTCTTGACAGCTGGTCGTCTCACATAGCCTGCCTTGGGTGTTTGATGGTTTGGATTCGAGCTACCACTGCTTCCAAGTCTGAGGACGCGTTGCAAGAGGGGGCGGAGGGTAGCGACACATCCTACAATCATGCCGACGCCGTTTTCGGCATAGCCCCAAAGGACCACATCGGAGACGCCATCTGTTCAGTGCGTTAGTAGTGCGCGAGTTGATCAGGTGAGTATCGGAGCTTACGGAGATATTCGGTTGCGTTGGTTAGGTTGACAGTATAGACAAGGCGAATGCAGGCTGACAGACTGGCCCTACGACGGATGTGAGCAATGCTAAACATAGTACAACCGAACTGGACTCACAAGGCTCCCAACCCAAGAATGACACCCACCGATAGCTTGGCGTTCCTGTTCAATTGTACATTCCATAGAAGTGGTATGGGCAACAGCGCACAAAACCAGTCCGTCGCAATGTTGACCGCTGTTGTCGCGTAGTAGATATCTGCAAGCGTCTGCGCGGGGTTGCACTTCCCGCCAAGAGTCGAAGTATCCCAGGCGTATGATATTGGCGCGCATTGAAATATGATGTACAACAATGCGATGAGGTTCATGGTTACGAACATGGCGGAGACGGCGTATAGACTGTATACAAACAGTTTTCTTCTCGATGCGATACGGATCAGCATGAAAGAGATACTTAGTTTGATGGGGATGATAGCGGCGCAGTAAAAGCATTCGAAAAAGAAGAAAAACTAAGTAGATCAGTAAGGGATTGAGGCTGTTGAAAGATGTATATATTCATACCTGCATTCCCTGGACTTTCTCAGCTGCCGAGAGTCTGAACTCGTGCACTCCAATCCCACTAAATGCACCTCCAATACACGATATGGATAATCCTGTGAATGGTACCTGGAGTTTTGTTGTTAGCCTAACTGACCTCCAGCGAGATCACCGAGGTCTTACGTACAGTTGCGATGGTCATAGCCCAGTCATCTAATCCCCAGGCATGGTTGTGGAGTCTTGTGTAAACCCGCAAACCGAAAGTAATGAACGCGATCACTGTCAGTGCGATCACCGAGGCAGCGAGTTGTGGGGAATTATCCCCATAGTATGTCATTTTTAAGATTCACTATAGCGAGAGCTGTTTCTACAACACAAAATAATGGACAAGAACGATAGGGAAAAGAAACAATTCATGAGAGGGCAGAAAACGAATGGAAGAGAATACTGCAGGAACACATCGCTCTGCCGTGCGAAGGTGGATCTTCTTGAGAACATTGCGGTCCAGTGTGAGGCACGGCTAAGCGGAGTGCATTCTCCCAAGGGGGTTTCAAAAGAGGAAGGAATTCGACGCATATCAATCTGCTATCGAAGCTTTGCCGTGCGATATGGAGACCCACCCCAGAATGCCAAATAACCATCAACATCTGTCTTGTTCACCAGCTGCCAGAGAGACCCATGTAGGCCCAGTTTTCGTTCCCTCCTGGGGCAGTGTCTGGGATGCTACTGGTAATGCGCGGCGAGCGTTACTAACATGCTTTCCCGTGTCGAGGTCGTGATTGTTTGGTGTGGGCGGCCTAAGGGTACCAACTGGTCGAATGTGGCACGGCTGGACCATCCCCCTGGGTGCTGTGCGCGCTCAGACTCCAGTGATGGAGGCACGGTTATAACTGAACCCTGGAGCATATGCAAGTTGAGAAAGCGGTCTCTTACTCTTCTTCATGGACTGGCCTGCTGGCTCAGAGGGCGTCGATTCCGTCTCACAGTGGACCGTGCAGGCTGCATTAATCCACCATCTTGAGACACTTTATATCGAAGGCAGCCAGACACGCGAGATTCATCTCCTTTGTCTATCCCAGCTGGTTCAGAATTTCAGAATCCCACCATGTTGTGATCCTCTTCGTGATGGCACTCGTCGACGGCAGGGGAGCCGGGAAATGCTCATCGCTGGCGAACCTGCATTAGCGCGAGGTTCGCTTACAAAATTCCCCATAAAAGGCCCGAATAAGACCCCTGTCCCGCGGATTGTCTACGCCAAACGCTTCGCGTACTATTCAACCAACATCAGCGGCTCGCGAAGACCGGCAGCTGCATGGATCCAGGAGTAATAAGGGGGGACGTAGATTTGTGGCCTAAGTGTTTCCGACCTCGGGATCCTGTGACCAACTTGATTCCTGGCCGTGATGTCGGGATGTAGATAGTTAGTGACTACGCACGCGAACAAGGGTGTTAGGTTATCGGAATGTCCAACTATATGCAATAGCAGCTGGAAGATACAGGGTTTGGAGTTCTTGTGCTACCGCGACTTGGGCATATTACAGTGGCAGTGATGGCAGGTGTCAGTGTTGACAGGTTGAGTTTCGAATGACATAATGATGAGTAATTTCCTATCCCATACGTGCGGTTCCAGGGCTGTCTTATCGCCCTCGCACTCAGGGAACAACCACGAGGTCAATGCGCACGAGTTTTATTTCGTGGTATGTTTCGTATACACTTCCATCTCTTTGCCGAGCATCGGAAGTATAGTTCCGTCTTGTGTTGATTCAAATGTTGCTTACCTAAGTTTATTCGTTGCCTTAGTTACTACCTGTGTCCCCTCCCGGTATACAGGATTGGTTGTGAGATGCTTTCTCTGAAGTTTCGAGGGAGCGAGTCACAGATGCGCACATTGCGATCATTGGGATACCCAATCTTGCTGGAAGAAATTATAAGTTCAGGGCAACTACTCATAGCTGCCATCTCTTCTGACTGTTGAACACCTGGGCATGGTAACATACCTTGTCTCCATGTTACCTAGGCAGGTTATGTCCTCAGAGGGAACCGTAGGTAAACTCTTATGCAAGATGGTGCACTAATACTAACGATATATATTGTACACCTCGCATTGCGTAGGCCTGACAACGAGGTCCCTCCAGTAGTATGACTACCACAGGTTACCAAGTGAGAGGGACAAGGCAGAGTGGTTGCAACGTATTGTATTAACTATCGTGTTGTCCGGTGTCACAGACTTTTGGCTGTTGTGGTGGGTGCTATTGCCCGCCGGGCAGTGCCTGCCACACCAGCATATCATGTGACTCTCAAGCACCTTCTACCCTGGACTGAACCTAGATATTCTCAACAATAACTAATAATATTCCAGAATATAATCCTATTATATCTATGTTTTGTGTTTACTTATTCTAGATAGCGGTGCGCAGTAGTAGTTTACATTTATGGCCCTATCACCATACGATTCGCTCTTAGTACACATAGTCTGCTTACTGAACAGATCCAATACGCTTTCCGTAACCAGCCTCTTATTGGAAAAGTAGAGGTTGTTGAGTATTTCGACGTACTATGATTTACATAATTAGTTAGGAGTCATACTGGTTAGTAGAAGATAGTAGTAGAAATATAGTTTAACTTTACGCAGTAGGTGTTTGCCCGGGCTCTAAAAAAACTCATATCACGCAACTTAATCGCGACATAGAAGAGTTGCCTACATTTGTTATATTACACTAGATACTTCTTATTATCCTCGTAGAACTCACACAAAAAGTAGCTGTTTCTCCTTGTCTCTCGCAGGTTGTGTTGCAGAAAAGCTTCCCAACCTAGGAATAGGCCCAATGAGACTTCCCCGCTAACAAACTCCTGATAGAGCTTAATGCATTTGCTTCTTTGCTTACAAAGCAAGCTTTATCTCAATAGAATAGGACAAAATGACTGCGATATTGAAAGGTTGTTGGGACATGCGCGTACAGCCAGCCCGGCGAGTTTTTCCGGGCAGGAAGCTTGGACCACTACCGTCCGTGCGCATCCAATGCAACAGGTCAGCCAATGCAACACCAAAACCACACTAGTATACTAAAAGATGAGGCTGTAGAGCCACCCACAATAGCTATTATCGCGAGATTTTGTAGTATAGTTGTCGGCATACACACGGTGTGTCGCCTAATAAGGCCCAATGTACCGCCTCGATCCTACTTCGGCCCAACTCGGACCCAACGCTATGTATACCTTCGTAGCCCCCACATTCGTAGAATCATCATACACCAGAATACCAATACACAAGATTACCTTAGCTACTGTTATTCACCGTACGATCGTACAAGGCCTTCCAACACTGATCAGTGATTGCACGGCAGTCACAGACAGTTAGGTTAAGAAGAGATAGATTCTTTACCCCGCGCGTTCCCTAGATTGCCTATATCAGCAAGGCGGAGTTATCTATGCTAAGCTCACTGTTAGCTATATCAGGCGTCGTTCGTGGCTAGCGACCGACCGTTACAGCCGTATCAGAAGCGTTCCAAGACGCCGTCTATACACGCGCCAACCGACCGGTTGAGATTTGACCCGTGTACAACCCACGACCACCGACGCATCTCTAGCGAACGCAGCTAGCGCAACAAGCGTCAACAAGAACACAATAGCAGGAGAGAGAACATCATCGGAAAGAGCACCGGTAGCCAGGACACCGGCAGTAGGAATGGCGAGCAGTAGTAGAAGAGTGGTACCCACACTAGAGGCGCTACTAGGGACCACAAACATAAAACCAAGAGAATGGCATCACATCGATCCAGAGATTTGGGAGGACAACGTTGAAGCTCCAGACGATGAGGTAGGGATTACTACAGCAACAACGTACATTGCGCGTGCGATTGCGGACTATACAGATCGACCAACAGCAGATGAAGAACTCTTTTGGGAGTTCCGTCAGGACTTTGAAGGATGGACAGAGGCAATGTTCCTACGTGCCCAGCCAATATACACAAAGGAACTAAAGCGGATCCTCCGCTTTAAGGGAGTGTATACTGGCCGTATTAATATGGCACCTAGTGAGTCTCTAGCTAGGTTATTACGCATGGAGGAGTACCTAGAATGGCCTCAGGACGTATTCCAGTCGGCTGTGTTTGACACACGATCAGCTGCGCACATGTTGCAAGAGCGGGCACTACGGCAACAACGCAGTGAAGGATCAGTACAGTCCACAGACAGGAGATTATCAAGCCAGGCCCAGAGCCGAACCCAAACGCCTGTAAGGACAAGAGGCCGAGACGTAGACAGTCGGCAAACCCGCGATCAAGACCAGACCCACGCCCGTGTGCAAGGACGACAGGAGACCGTTGAGGAAGAACAACAGATTCAGGACCAGCTAGCAAAAACGATTGAGAAAGCCCAAAACCAACCAATCCGAAGCCAGCCTGTAGAGACAACTGAATCCGCACCGCAGCCAGCCTATCAGCGCGTCCAAAGTCAGCAACCTCCCCTCACCTACAACAACTTCGACCGATTCCGCGAGTATACACCAGCATACCCGCAACGTCCGAAGGGACTGAGCGTTCCCCCAATTGTGCCCTCTGGTGAAACAGACCCGTACAAGGCAGTTCCACCAATCGAGTTTGGCAATGAGAAACTGGATCCTAAGACGATCAATGTCTTCGTGAAAATGTGGGACCGAGACAAAAAGTATACGGGAAAGCCGTACGACCTCCTAGACGATAAATTGAAGATCTTCTACAGCATCTGTTATCACGCAGACATCGAGCCAGGGCAGTTCCATGCAGTCTTTCCACGGATTCTCGACGGCCGCGCAGAGGAGTATTACCTCCACTTCGTCGATCAGCGGATGGATACGTTCTTGACTGCCTACACAAAGCTCAAGAACCACTTCGACACAGACGTCAACCACGGCCATTACTACGCGGACTGGACGACGACATCGTTTGTCAAAGTCCGCAGGGAGAACCCCGAAAAGAACCTCCACGAGGTCCTTGACATCATGCTGGACAAGCTCCAATTGTGTCAAAGAGCACTTGGACAGCAGTACATGGGAGAATACGCGCTCCGAACGACTGTAATCACAGCATGCCGAGGCGTGAAGGAGCTCGAGATGGCACTCTACAAGCCGTCTCTAGAATGCGAGGTTCTGTTTGGAGATCTGCGATCGTCAATCGAAAACTCACTCGCCATGACCGTCTCCGTCAACTTCACTGAGGCGGATACGGATAGCCAGTACTACTTGGATCGTCGGTACAACAACAACAGCTCTGGAAGATTGCGAGGGAATTACAACCCTCGCGGTGGACGCAGCGGATTCACCCGCGGACGCGGTGGGCTTCAGCACCGCTCTGGAGTCAA